GAGGAGAGAGGAACAGGAGCCAAAAACATACAAACAAACAAAAAAGAGTGCTAGGGGAGCTTGCCTTGGAGTGGAGAGATGAGAGACTATGAAATGGAGAAAAACAAAAAGGGGAAGAAGAAGAAAAAAAAAAAGAAAATAATGAAGAAATAAAAATTAGAAAGAAAAAAGAACAGCAAAGCTCCCAGGGATCCCACTGTTGCAGTACGAGGTCCGGGGAAGCTGTTCCCAGGTGTTGCGGTACCGCCTGGCTAGAAGGCATGGAGGAATTCAGCGCCAGGTATTCAGGGGACAGGAAAAGAAGGAAGGTATAGAGAGATGAGAAACTGAGTAACGAAGAAAGACAAAAAGGGAAAAAGAGGGGAAAAAAAAACAAAACAAATTAAAAAAAAACAAAAACAAAAAAAGCCCCCTAACAGAAATAAATAAATAAATAAATAAACCCCCAAAAAAAGAAATGCCCTCGAGGATCCCTCTGTGGTCCGCGCAAGCTGAGGGGGTGGGTCCCAAGCTGCTTAGCACTGCCTGGCCAGAATGGGCTCCCCACTCGAAAAAAGGAAAAGAAAACAAACAAACAATTCAAAACAAACAAACAAACACAAGCCCCGGGATCCCACCAGCATGGCAGTGCAGAGCGGGAAGCAGTTCCACACTCGAACAGAGCTCTGCAGTCCCCCAGGAAGAAGCAAAGATGGTGCACAGAGCCAGGTATTTGAGCGAAAGAAGGGGGAGGTGGTGAGAGGTAAGGAAGAAATCAATAAAAGCAGAAAAAAGCAACACCAGCAGCCAGCAAATGGCACTCAGGGAGTCGGTTGGTGTGGGCGGGTGGAATCTAAGCAGCCGGTGCTTCCCGGCCTAGAGACTGTGGCCGCGGGAAGCAGAGGAGGCCAAGTGGGGGTGAAGAAGGGTGGGGGGTGAGAAAGCATATATCGCCAATTATCGGTTGTTCTGTCTCCTGCTGGACACTCCGTGAAGCTGTTTTCTCGTACCCCCATTTGCTTGTCTCTGATAAGAGTTCAATATGGTGGATCCACCCTGCCTTAGCTGATAGGGGACCACTGCATGAATCTCTCTTCGCTCTCTATTCTCTGTCAGTTTTCTCACTCCATTTGGTGCTTGGGTGAGTTCTTTATCTCTTCATTTGATGTTTTAGGGTTTCTGGATTGCTGTTTTCTCTGTTTGGCTTAGTTTTTCAGATCTTTGCTGTGGAGGGACAGCGTGGTGCTTGTGCCTAGACAGCCATGTTGCCGGAAGTCCTGAGTTTTCCTTCTTGACAGGTTTCCACCTTACATGAATTCCTGCTTTCACAGGTTCCACTTTATGTTCTTTTTTGTGTATGGGGTAAAAATACATAAGAGTGTTTGACACTTCACCATTTTTCACATGTGCAATTCAGTGACATTCATTAGGTTCCCCATGTCATGCAACCATCGCCACTGTCCACTTCCGAATTTTTCCATCATCTTTAACAGAGACATGGTGTTCCTTAGGCATGTCTCTATCGTTTCTGCTATAATAAAACTGAGTTCTGTGAGTCATTCTAGTGAATTACTGAATGAAAGTAGGAAGGGGGAGACCCTGAATTTGTAGCCAGCAGATCGAAAGTAAAGATGTCACAGGAACCCCTAAACTTACATCTGACATCTAAAGTCTTGAGCAGACATGGCAGCCTGGAGAACTGCGCCCTTTCACTTCTAAGATCTGACTGGTTAGCTCCAGCGGTTAGGGTCAAAATAAAAACTGCATTTGCAGCTGGTGTCAGAGACAATAGTTAGAGTTAGAGTGTGTCAGGAAAAGACGCACGCAAAAACAGAGACAAACCCAGACACCGCACCCTCTCACCTGCCGTGGCTCTCACAGCTCATGCCGAGTCTTTATACTCGCACGAACATCCTCTTTGTCCTATATGACACTCTACTTCCAATAATGGTGGGCTACGTTATTAAGTGGCGCAACGATTTAAGTGCTTAGCTGCTAACTGAAAAGTTGGCAGCTCGAACCCACACAGCGGCTCTGTGGGAGAAAGACACATAGACGCCCCCTCACCCAGCTCAGGCTGCCTCCCCATGCTGCGACGCTCTCTCCTTGGATGCTGCTCCCTTCCGCTGGCCTCAACACCTCACCCCAGGCCACACCTCTGTGCAGATGCCCACCATGTTCTGCTCACCTAACGTCTTTAGAACTGCATTGTTCAAGAAGAAGAGAGGGAGGAGGGAGAATGAAAGGCTTCCATTCGTGGAAAGAAATAAGACAAGGATGCCACTACTACTTCAATACAGTAACATAGATTCTAGCTAGCAAAGGAAGGCAAGAAAAAGAAACAAAACATATAAGGTTTGGAAAGAAAGAACACTGCCATTATTCACAGATGATCCGATTACGTTGAAAATCCAAAAGATCTATAGATAAAATAAAAGAATTGATGAAACAATTTTGCAAAAGCCAACATACAAAACCTGATATGCCAACAAACAGGAAATGAAACTTTAACAAGCTGTTTATAATAGCACCATAAAATCTGAAGCAATTATTAAGTACAAAGAGAAAAATGTCTTTACAATAGAGAGATATGGTGGTCACCAACTTATCTAAGTAATGAAACTGAGCATTACCAAGAATGGAAAAACCTAACATCATATATCTCCTAATATGATGCAATATGAACTGTCCTATATCATCCAAGGTTTTCACTGGCTACTTTTCAAAAGCAGATCACCAGGCCTTTGTTCCCGGTCTGTCTTAGTCTGGAAGCTCCATTGAAATCTGCCCATCATGGGTGATCCTACTGGAATGTATGAATGTATGATACTGGTAGCATAGCTTGCAGCATCGTAGCAACATGCAAGACACCACAGTGCGACACACTTTCTGACAGCTGGTAGTAAAGTTTATAATGAAACATAAAATAGTACAATGTAAATTATTATAATGATATGTGCAAAGACTTGGAATTAGAAAACCAAAGTGAAGAACAAAATAGGCATTTCTCAAGCTGTAAGAACTGAAGAGAAAATTCAAGCCTTGAGTTGAAATACTGAAGGATTCAAAGGGCAAAAAAACTGAATGACGCAGGACGCATCTAAAGAAGATGGAAGACAGAAAAAATAATAAAGATCAGAGCAGAAATAAATGAAATAGAAAACAAAACAACAGAAAGAAATCAACAAGATTAGAAGTTGGTTCTTTGAGAGGATCAATAAAATTGACAAACCACTGGCCAAACTGACAAAAGAAAATCAATGACAAGACGCAAATAACCAAAATAAGAAATGAGACGGGTGACATGTTGTAAACAGAACCATCAACGGTATCCATCAACAGACGAATGCATAAACAAATTGTGGTGCATACATGCAATGGAATACCACACAGCTGTAAAGAGTAATGAGGAGTCCATAAAACATAACATGGATGAATCTGGAGGACATTCTGCTGAGTGAAATAAGTCAACCACAAAAAGACAACTATTGTATGAACCCACTATTATAAAAAGTCAAGAACAGATATACACACGTAAAGCAAAGTTCTTTGATGGTTACCAAGGATGGAAGAGAGAGGGATCACCTTCTAGATAGTAGACACTTGCTACCTTTGTGATGGGAATGGCAATCCCAAATATGGGCGAAGTCAGCACAACCTGACCAAGGTAAATAAAGACACTAAGAAACACATGAGAAAAAGGGACAACTTCAGTAAATGCTGTAACATAAAATTTTGCAACAACAGTAAAAACATCCAAAAAATATGTGTGTGGTTATGTAGTGTCACGGATTGAATTGTTGTTGTTGTTGTTATTAAGAGCTGTCAAGTTGGTTCCAACAACAGAACACTACAACAGAACGGAACACTGCCTGGTCCTGCACTATGCATACTATCGTTGTTATGCTTCAGCCCATTGTTGCAGCCACTGTGTCAGTCCACCTTGTTGAGGGTCTTCCTCTTTTTTACTGACCCTCTACTTTACCAAGCATTATGTCCTTCTCCAGGGACTGATCCCTCCTGATAACATGTCCAAAGTATATGAGACGTAGTCTCGCCATCCTTGCTTCTAAGGAGCTTTCTGGTTGTACTTCGTCCAAGACAGATTTGATCGTTCTTTTGGCAGTGCATGGTATATTCAATATTCTTCGCCAACGCCACAATTCAAAGGCATCAGTTCTTCGTCTTCCTTATTCATTGTCCAACTTTCACATACATATGAGACAACCAAAAACATGATGTCACTTTGATGACTAAGGTGTGCCTGACCCAAGCATGGTATTTTCAGTTGCCTTATATGCATGCAATAAGCTGCACAATGAAAATGAAGAATGAGAAACTGATGCATTCAAACTGTGGTGCTGGCAAAGAATATTGAATATACCATCGAATGCCAGAGGAATGAACAAATCTATCTTAGAAGAAACACAGCCAGAAGGCTCCTTAGAAGCAAGGACGGAGAGACTTCGTCTTGTTTATTTTGGACATGTCATCAGGAAGGACCAATTGCTGGAGAAACACACCATGCTTGGTAGAAGGTCAGCAAAAAAGAGGGAGACCTCAATGAGATGGATTGACAGTGGCCGCAATAATGGGCTCAAACATAGCAACAATTTTGAGAATGGCGCAGGACTGGGCAACATTTTGTTCTTTTATAAACAAGGTCGCTATGAATCAGAGCCAACTCAGTGGCACCTAACAATAACTAACAATACCATCTAAGTTGTATTCATGCCAATACATGAAATTACTGAGGAAATAATCAGAAAAATCCAGAATGTGAGAAATCTTACAACTGCCATTGAGTCTTTAAAAGAGTCAATATCAAGAAAAAGAGAAAAGGGGGCACAGTTCTAGATTAAAAGAGACCAAAGCAATGCATCATCCTTGACTGGATCCTGGGTCCAAGTGGGAGGAAAAAAAAAGCCAACTGATTGGTACAATGGTATTCCAATGTTGTTTTCAGTAACATTTCTTCAATTACTCTTCCAGCTTTATGGCTTCACACCTATCTATTGCTGTCCAATCATAAGGTACAAAGATCATTCTGGTGACATTAGGGTGGCAATTCTTATGGACAGCATATAAACATCTCTTATTCCCCATCACTCTGATTTCCATGATCGCCACTACCCACCTACCCTGCTCAGAATGTGCTCAAGTTCGTAGACTGCTTGCAGGGCTCCAACTTCCAGAACCTTCAGCTGGCAAACTAAGAGGTGAACCACAGCCCGGGGGCAAGTCAGCATGTGACAGTTCAAACAGGAGCCCCGGAGCAACAGGTAGAGTTTCTGAAGAGAGGGAATAAAAAGAAAACAGCATATCTGAAAGAAATACAAGTCATGGTGATTATAAATGTACTTGACATTTTCATTTCCAGGTAGTTGTAGCAGTCTATTTTTTTAAGGATTCTATTTCAGCCTATATGCTTAAAAAGGTCTTCTTGGCCCCAAGCATTAGATAAATATTCATTTGTTTTCTCTTATGGTTTCATTTTAATTCATTAAAATTTTGAAAATTTTATGTATTGGTGTATAGGGTCCAAGGTGGGGAACTACCTTTATTTCATTAAAAGTGTGTAATTAAGACAATTTTCTTTCCTTAATATAATTAAGAGACCAATATCACATTCATACTGTCATCCGTATAATTTTTAAAAATCCTAAAGGCTAATTGATATAAAAAGCTGAAACTGTACAAGTAGCACTCTAGACAGCAGCTCCATTCACATCTCGCTGTACTGTCTTCTGGGGCTTTACTTTCCTTGTCACAAAGGAAAACCTGGAGGGCTCAAAGGCAGGCCTAGAGAACACCAAAGGTCCCTCCATCGCCAGGGACGCATCACCTAGATTTGTGAAGGGATCAAAACCCGGAAACAAAAGGTATAGGGGATGAATCTGAACACTCTTTCCACCCATGTGACTAGAATCAAACTGTGGCTCTTCTTAACTGGAATCAACTGAAATTCATTCTGTTGGGGCTACAGACCAAGTCGAATTTACTGGATTTGGCTCCTCAAGGTTTTAAATCCCATACAAAATAATCCTTTAACTCAAAAGTGTTTGGAGATTAACTTTGTCAGACACATCTTGTGGGAAGAGAGGTGGCACTCACAAATCCTACCAGCATCCCTGAGACCCACACATGCAGGGCAGCTCAGGGCAGAACGTACATCGAAAAGGAGAGGGTTGTACACCGTGAGTGGGAGCTCGATGTGACCCAGATGACCACAGCAGTTGTTGAAGTCCTGCACGCAGGTGGAGCACACCTCTTTGGAATCTGCAGGGCCCAAAGCTAAGTCGTACAAGCCATTCACGGATGGGTTCCCCAGGCTGTCCAAGTACCGAGGGTTCGTAATGGATTTAACACTTAATTTCCTAAAGAGATTTAAAAAACAGAAACAAAGAAAAAGTAAGTTTACCAGCTTCCCTGACAGTTCTTTTACCACTTAAAAGATTAAATTAAGTAATTAATATGTTTCCTCAGACACACTGATAGCTCCAGAGGGCAAGATCTGTGTCTGCCTTGAGCAACACAGTAACCCAGCACTTAACGCAGAGCCTGCACATGGTAGTTACTCAATAAATATTTGCTAAATGAGTAAGAAAGTGACAAACTTAAAAAAAAAAAAAAAAAAACAGATTTAGTGCAAAATTTCCACTGACTATATAAGGTGAAAAGTGCTCTCTCGTTGACATATTGATTGATTTTTTTAATGAAAGGAGAATCTGAAGACAGTACGGTACTGGTAGAAAGTTTCGAGAAGAGTCTGTGGTCAAGATTGACAAATGCTACCGTGAATAAAATGATCACTAAAGAGTGCCCTACATTTAGTAACTAGGAGGGTCCTGAAGTATAATTATACACAACAGCACACTAATTATCGGTTTAATAAACCGTATAGAAAACAACATAATAGCTCCACAACCGCTTAGTTAACGAGACGGACAGATGGTCAACGCTGCAACCCAGAACCTCCTCAACTCTCACCAGCCCTCCCTCTCCCTCGACGCCAGAATCTGTTCCCCCAGCCCCACCGGCTTCTAGGGAAAGCACGCCGGCCCAGAAGCGTTCCCGGAACTACGGATCCCAACAGGCCATGCGCCAATCAACCACGGACTCAGAGGACAGGTTAGGCGCAAGACCTTCTGGGAACAGTAGTTTAGAATGCCGACCTCAAAAGACTGGCTGTGCACGCTTCCCACTAACTCCTTACTTGAGCTCTTCGGCCGAATACATCCCGAAAGAAATCCCCTGAAGTCGCCGCCAGGGCATGTTCTTGTAGCCCAACATCTTCCAGGTCAGCTACGAGTTTCGAGACCCAGACAGATGTTCCAAATCACCACCGGTAACCTCTTAGCCTTCAGCACGCAACCATGTGATTCAAACTACGCTTGCGCGGGAGAAACGCAAGCTGGAATGAGACTGACGTGGACGAGGCCATTTCCACTGTAGGGGGACAAGAATAATTTCACGACTCACTCTCTTATTTTGAAAACAAAGATATATAAAACATTAAAATAATCACTTTGGAAAATTTCTACAAGGCAATTGAAGCGTATTGAGCCCTTAGCTTCTGTAATAAAGTCTTTTAAGTCATAAGCCTGTAGCCTCCCGTTTCATGATTGATTTCGCTTGCTTCCGTCTCAGCCAGTAGCGGAGCTATTCCCCGCCTACCTGTTTCCCTGTCTCCGAGATGCGGAAAGTCGGGGGTGGGACTTCCCGAAGTGCTGAAAAAAAGAAGTCAAAGATGGCGGCGGTAGCGGCTGTTCGCTGGTTTAGTGGCCGCTGCAGGCCTTACCTGCCGACTGGTCGGGGGGCAGCTCCCGGTGGACGGGCCTCCAGTTGCAGGTAAGAGAAACCTGGAGGGTCCACGAAGAAGGCCCCAGGGTCAACTTAGTCCTATATTTTTCCCATTTCCCCGAGAGTACAATGGAAAAGGCTATGATGTAGTGAAATGCGCGTGTGCCTTGTCGGCGCCGCGTGCTGCAGAGCCCGCGTCCTTGAAATAGGGTTCAAGAGGCATTTATTCATTTGGGAGGTATTGGTTATCTGCAGTACCGTAGAGTTAGAATTGTTAGCAAAAGAAGGACCCTGCTTTTGTGGCACTTTCATGCTAGTGAGTGTGGCTATTAGCAACCCTACCCTACGTTTTAAAAAAGTTACCTGACTTTCTTCGTTTTCACCCAGTCAGGAGAACTCGGTAAGTTTTCCCCAATATAAACGGCAATTTCTGAGCGCCACTATTTCTCTGAATGTTGTGGGCATATTTGGTCAAAGAAATTAACAGTTTATCATAAAAGCAGGATCTGAGCACTTCCATTCCGATATTGGATTTTTGTGCTAATTACAGCTTGGAACGTATGTCACTTATTTATGTAATTTTTCTCACTCAGTGCAAACAGTGGCTTTTTGGAAATACGAGAAACAGTAGCTTGTAGTAAAAAGTTGAGAAAAACCTAATTTTAAATTCAGTGTTTGCTTTTTCCTTACTTGGATGGCAGCGGACAGATTTTCTCATCTGGAGAGGGAAACTAAGGAGCCCTCGTGGCGCCGTGGCTGAAGTGCTCGGCTGCTAACCAAAAAGTCGGCAGTTCAAACCCCCAGCCTATGGAGCAGTTCTACTCTGTCGTTACAGAGTCGCTGTGAGTTGGAGTCCGCTCGGTGGCAGTGGTTATGGCTTAGAGTGGGACTAATACTAAAAAAAAATCCAGACTCGTTCCTATGTGGTTGCAGACTCATAGTGACCCTACATGACAGAGCAGAACTGCCGCATAGAGTTTCCAAGGCTGTAAATCCATACAGAAGCAAACTGCCACATCTCTCTCCCACAGAGCAGCTGGTGGGATTGAACCTCTGACCTTTGGGTTAGCAGCCAAGCGTTTAACCACTGCACCACCAGGACTCCTTGAAACTAGTATAGCCATCCAAAAAACTGGATATTAAGTTAATTTGTATATGTAAATCACCTTCCCTCAACACCCCTCAAAGAAGAGAAAGTGTTGCATTTGGTACTGCAGAAGCTTTAATGTTGCTGTTCAGTCCCTCGTCCTCTTTTGCCCTCATATTTTTGCTCCTCCTCTTCTGGTTAGCGCCTAGTGTCGACATTTTTCTATCCATTCTTTCGCCTAACAGCAGCTGCTTTTCCTCAGCATTCACCCACAAGACAGTAGTGGTCTGTGTTCTGATGTCATGAGACACAAATGGTAAAATTTGAAAGAGTTGATCCCTTTCTGAAATGTCCCTAGCAGAGAGGTTTTCAGCATGCGTTGACGTAAATTACTCATATGGTTTGATCCATGGTATTGAAAAATTTTGACTTAAAATGCGTATAGGTGGAGGTGAACTGGGAATTTCATTAATGAACATTAGCTTTAGTGCTTTGGTTTTTTTGCAGGTTTTATTCTGGAAGTGCAGCCATCCCAGAGGTTGAAGGAGCTGATGTAACCAGTATGTAAAAATCCATTGAAATAATTCCATTTTTAGATGAATACATTGTATTTCTTTGTAGTAATTGCTTTGGGAAATTTTGATTCACTTTGTTTCATTTTTCCGATTAAGGTGTTGAAGAAGTGATCATTCCAAGAAAGAAAACTTGGTGAGTATTCGAATCTGTGCATTCAACAAATGGGGAGTGCTTACCTTGAGTGAAACATGATTTTAGGTGTTGGGGATGGGGATGTGGGAGTGAATAAGCCAGTCAAGGTCCCTCCCCCAAGGCACTAACGTTCTATTAGGAGGGGTTGGTCAGTAAACAAACGAATAGATAAGTCTTCTAGATGCCGAGAAGTGTCCTGAAGGAAGTGTGATGTGACTGGACATAGAGGGTTAGGTCAGGAGCCAGTGACATGAAGAGCAGTAGGAGAGCATTCTAGAAGAGGGAGCAGCTGAGGTGGGGAAAGCTTGATACTTTAAAGAATGGAAAGGAGGCGGGTAGAGAGTAGTAAGTGAAAAGGAATGTAATTAACTTAAAAACTAAAAAAATCGTCTATGTGGATTAATATTTACATGATAAGGGTTAGTCATGAGTACCACCGTTAGAATGATTTGTTTTCTTATGGAAGTTGTCTTTCACATGATTAGGAGACCGGACAAGTTTATTACACTTACAGTTGTTACTGAGGTCGAATAAATAGTGTGGACTGCAGACTTTTAGCTTTTTTATTCACTGGGTATATCCTTGAACAAATTGCCTTATCTCAGTTATTCAACGTTTGTTAAGTATGTAAGAATTAAAACTTCTCTACAACAGTGATTGTAGTAATATATTATCAAATGCATTTAAAGGCCCTTGCAAAAAGCCAGGTCTTTCTGAGTATGACCTGAAGACTCATTCATTAAGAAACAGACACAAAACTTAAATTATAAAAGTAGTGAGTAATTATTGCCAAAAGAAGGATAGGGCAGTAAATATAACATGCAAAAGGGAAACAAAGTTGCCAGCAATCCCATTACTCAGAGGCAAGTTGCTTAATTTTTATGTGCCATAGTAAAATGGGGGTAGTGGTAGTACCACCTCAAAAGGTTGAATGAACATATTGAACAGTGCCTGTCACATAATCAGATCTCAATAGATGATAGCTATTATCATTTTAGGATAATGCATTGGTGATGCAATGGTTAAGAGCTACAGCTGCTAACCAAAAGGTCGGCAGTTTAAGTCCACCAGCCACTCCTTGGAAACCCTATGGGGCAGTTCTACTTTGTCCTTTAGGGTCGCTATGAGTCAGAATCGACTCAACAGCAATGGGTATGGGTATTATCATTTAAAGCTTTGCTATAAACTTTATACTTCTGATGTTTTAAAAAGTATAATTTTTTTTTAGTACAAGTTACATACATATTTTGTTTAGTGGAATTATATGTACTGTTCTACCCTGATTTTGATTTTTAATGGCTACATGGTATTTCAGTATATGGATATATTCAGGTTCACACCTGTCTTTTCTGGCCTGAGAATCAACAATAGTTGGAATATACATTTCCATGAATGCAGCGTTTCCCTGAATGGCGTTCGTCTCCAGAGTACTTTATCATCCCATTATGCTTTTGTTCCTCAGGAACGGAATACAAAATAAAGAGCGTTTGGAATATGTGGTCTCAGATGGCTTATGATCTGGTTGGATCATGTGCTTATATAATCTTATATTCATGTCACATATATGCATAATAACCTTATACATGACTAGTGGGAGCCCAGGATATGATATAGTCTAGAACTGGATTGTGTAGTACAAAGCAAGAAGAGACATTCAGGTAGGAGAGGAGGGGTTGTATTCCACTCTTAAAGGTGGATTTTGTTGAAAATGTAGAAACTTATCTATGCCTTAAAAAAAACGAGTAAGATTATTTTACTGGCATCAGAATCACCTGGGGATTTTGTTAAAAATGCCTATACCTGCAGGCAATTCTTGTGAGCCCTGCAGTATGAGACCCACAAGTACAGAGAACAGTGAGGCAGGGTGGGGCATAATCAAGATAGAGCGGGTGGTGGGAGGAGGGCAAGCAGACCTGTGAAGAAAGTTGTTAGAATAGGGGAAACGAGGTAGTTGGTATACAACATGGGTCAGCACACTATGGCCTATTTTTGTACTGCCCATGAGCTAAAGTGGTTTTTACATTTTTGTGTAGTTAAAAATCAGACGAATAATATTTTGGACGTGTGAAAATTACATGAAATTCATATTTCAGGGTCAGTTTAACTTTTATTGGAATGCAGCTTCACTCGTTCATTTATGTATTGTGTGATGCCGCTTTTGTGCTACAACAGCGGAGCTGAGTCGTTTCGACAAGAGACCATAGGGATAGGGCCTACAGGCCTAAAATATTCACTGTTCAGTGACTGAAAAAATGGTGTCAGCCCCTAGATAGAACCACTGATTTCCCGGTTCAGGAATCTATATTTTTAGGCCTGGAGGAAGTTGTAGGACTACAGAGCCCTGTTGCGTTATTTTAGAGATGAAGTATATTTTAAGGCTGCGATTTCCGAGGTCACGCAGGTGCCATAGAAGACTTCATTTGATAAGTTATAGTGAGTCTACAGTATCGATGTGCTGTGGTATAGGCAGTGTTCTGAGCAGATTGATCTGAATTGTGTCGTAATTTAGGTAGGGCAGAGAGCCTGACTGATCAGTGCATAAATTGGGTTTGTAAAAGAAATGCAAATTAAAATTTATCAGATTGGCAAGGAGAGATGTGGAGAAATGGGTGCTTGAATGCGTTTGTTGGTGGGGCAGTAACTTGGAAAAACTAGAGGAGAATTTGACAGAATCAAAACTTAAAATGTGCGCACCTCACTGGTAAGCCACTCTAGGGGAACGTTTGTGTGCTGAAGAAAACACGGATGAAAGTGTTCTTTATAAGTTGGGAGTAGTAACAAGTTGAAACAGTCTAAATGTCTATCAATAAAGGAATGGGTAAATAAACAATGATTATGATACTATACAAGGAGTTGTGGTGGCACAATGGTTAAGTGCTCGGTTACTAACTAAAAGGTTGGTGGTTTGAACCCACCCAGCAGCTCTGCAGGGGAAAGACCTAGTGATCTGCTTCTGTAAAGATTACAGCCAAGAAAACCCTATATGGCAGTTCTACTCTGTCATATGGGGTTGCTACGAGTCAAAAATAGACTCAACAGCTCCTAACAACAACATCATATTATACAACATTTAAATGAGTTGATTAGATCTATGTGTTGGCAGTTCAAATCCACCAGCTGTTCCTTGAAAACTCTACGGGGCAGTTGTACTCTGTCCTGTAGGATCGCTTTGAGTTGGAGTCAGCTTGACAGCGATGGGTTTGGTTTATGTGTAGTAGCCTAGATAGTGCAATCACACTTAGATAAACAGGTACAGAATGATACTTTTCGTGTGGAGATAATGTGTGTACAAAAGTACTTTTAAAAACTGTGAAAGTATAAACACCAAATTCATGGAGGGGTCGGGGTGAGAAGGTGACACCAGGCACTTTAGGTTAACCTGTAATGTTCTAATTTATTTTTTTGAGGATAATGTGATTACAGTTAAAAATAACTTTTAGAATAGAGAGCTGGAGTCATCTGCCATAGTTTTTTTACTGGCATATAGTCATTTGTTCAGTAGGTTATGAAGTTGTGCTGACTTAACCACATTTAGTTAGGGAATGCTGAGAGATGAATGGGTCTTTGTCACTTGGCTGAAATTACATAAATTTGACTTCAAAAAAATGGATGGAAAACCCATTGGATATTTGATGTAGTAAAAAATTCCCTGTATGGTATTTTGTCTTTTTCAGGTGACATAATCCTATGAATATTATATGAAACTTTGTTTAGAAAAATAAGTTGGTTTATTAAATTTACTGTAATTATTTCTTTTCTGGAAATAAAACACATTAAATCTAGCATAGGAGTAAAAATACATTTGAAACCAGGGATGACAGGCGAAGTATGTTAGGAACGTGTACGAACCACCTTATGGTGAAAGACCTAGGCAGTTTTCTCATTTTCTGATCTGTTGCTACTCTAGTGATCTTGAGAGATAATCACTACCTCTAATTGAGACTTGTATTTTTTAATTGGCCATTCTGTTCTGAGAGTAGGATCATTTGGTCACTTCGTGAGGGTGAAAAGCTCTGGTTAATGTATGATTCTCATTCTTAGGGATAAAGTGGCGGTTCTTCAGGCACTTGCGTCCACAGTAAATAGGGTAAGTAGCTAGAGTACTGCCTGGTCCATGTTAGGTGCTCAGTAAATATCGTTGAATGCATGCATGCGGAAGACGCTGAACTAAGGCAGTGGCAGTTGGAGTAGAGAGAATGGAGTAGGTAGGGGAAGTATTAGGGACATAAAGCAACTTTTCCATTAAATGGCCCTATGTGACCTGTCCCCCATTACCTCTGACTGCATCTGCTGTGTCCCATCTGCTGTGTTAGAATCCACTTGACAGCAGCTGGTTTAGTCATGTAGGCACCTTCTGCGTAGCGCACGACGAAACTTCGCGCTCCCAGAAGGAAAGCAGGTGTTCAGCATAGACCACGTTGTGCGGTTCAGGCACAGTGAGGCACTCTTACATCAGTTCTGGACGTGGTGGTAACCCTCCCAAAATAGTTGAATGGGGCTAATGGGAGAGGGCCTTTGGGTTGAACTTCACAGTGGTCAGTGTCACGCACTGAAATGGATGGAGAAAATAAGAGGAAGGGTAGGTTTGTCAGGGAAGTTTGGTTTGGGACAAATTTAGTTTGAGATGCCTGCACTGCAGGGCCAGACTGGAGAAGCTTCTCTGAGACCATGGAGAATGTGGAGATCATTGAGGGAGGAAAATTGAGAGACAGACAGGAAGAACATGTCCAGTAAGTTAAAAGAAGCCCTAGCGTGTCACCACAACTGGAGTTTTTATTTAGATACCAAAACAGGTATCTAAGGGCGATGGAAAGAATAGAGCCAGAGATGTGCCACGGTTTCAGTGTAATCGGAGAGTAGTCTAGAGCTGCTGCCTCTGGCTGTCCTTTACAAGCCTGCGACATCTTGTAGAGAGTGGTATGTTGTTGGGTGCTGTCAAGTTGGGGTCATAGTGATGCCATGTGATAGAGCAGAACTGACCCCATAGAGTTTTCTTGGCTGTAATCTTTATGGAAGCAGATTGCCAGGCCTTTCTCCCACAGAGCCGCTGGGTAGGTTTGAACCGCCAACCTTTAGGTTAGCAGCCAAGCACTTAACTGAGGATGAAATGAGCCTCTGATGAGGAGTGTAGAGGGATAGGGCTTTGAAAGTGGCAGCAGGTAGTTAGGGGGAAAAAAAACCTCCAGACGCCAGGTGTGAGCAACCTTCCCTTGAGAACTGCAGGTAAGCTCTGCCGTCCGGAAAGTCCAGGTCAATAAGACAAGCTGGTAAGGACGGGTACAGTCAGAACAGATTAAAGGTTTTCTATGGAACAGAGGTTCCAGAAGGCCCAGAAAAGAGGATTCAGAGAGAGGAGAGGAATAGAGGAAGTAATTTTAGACAGTTTCACGTGGTACCTTTGGTGGTGCTGGAGAGTTGAGTTTGCTCAGGGTTGTACCTAGAAAATTTTCAGAAGTATAGAACATGGGGCAACAGGACACACAGAAGCTGCTGCTGTTCCCACCTCCTAAAAGGACCCAGTAGTGTCCTGGCCCATTTGGAGGAGGGATTGTTGGATGGAATTGAGCATGGTATGGATAGTGATCATGCTTTAAAGGAAAATCTAGTGCAGGAAATTTGTGTCAGGACTAGATAATTCAGAAGATCCTTACCTACAGTTTAAAAGTGCAGTAGTTCCCAGTGATAGCAAGACTCAACCCTTAGAAGCAGTCGGGTGGTTACGCCTTTGTTGACTAAGTTGTGCATAGTTACAGCCAAATCTTGCAGAACTGAGACTGCAGTATCAGTGTCTGTGTCCTCTCTGTGTGTGTGTGTGTACGCATACATACATATATAGTTCTACATGCATATTGCATAATTAAAACTTTTTTACAGAATTTTTGATCATCACCAAAACTCACAAGGTCCTTTTAATAAAAATCTAGCTAAAGAGACATCTTTCTTTTCCACAGGACCCCACAGCTGCCCCTTACGCATTTCAGGATGATCCTTACCTCATACCAGCATCCGTTATGGAATCTGTGAGTGTTTTCACGTAACTTTTCTAGTACTATGTTTTATCTTGCTGGTTTGGGTACAAGAATGCATATATAATTCAACTTAATTGTAAAATTTTTAAAAAGTTTCAGATGCTGATAAAATTGGTAAACTTTCTGAATCCCTCACTGCCTTTATCAAAAAATTGTACGGAGCTTGGCTGTGGAGAGGGTTGTTTTTGGTTTTGAATATTTAGGAGTCTTTCACACTGGAGTGACCTCTCAGTTTAAATTTATCATAAACCTCAAACTGTATAAGATATGATCTAAAATTGTTAATATCACAGTAGAAGAGGTGGATATAATATAATGTAGTTTAAGTTCTGATTGGCATTCTGTTTTGCGCAGGAGAATAATTCCTGCTTAGGGTAGAAGTTTGATCTTGAGAGCAAATTATATGTAAATACCAGTTTATAGCTAAATCTTTTTTCTTATATAGCGTTCATTTTTATTGGCAAAGAAATCTGGAGAGACTGCAGCAAAGTTTGTTATTAATTCACATCCCAAATATTTTCAGAGGGACATAGCTGAACCTCATATACCGGTAAGGAGAGCTAATTGCGATTTTCAGATAGTACTATATAAATGTAAATAAATCAAGCTTTCATGGCTAATATTTGAGTAACTGCTTGAATGCCCTCAGTACTTGAGTCAAAAGCCTTTTAATGTGTGGTGTTACCTGTTTATAATACTAACATTTTTTGGTTCCTTTTTATATATACTTGCTCCCCATTTTGATGTTTTCTCCCATTTGGCTTCTGTGACACCAGTCTATTGGATCTTTATAGCTATTCTTTTCAGTTTCCTTCACTAATTACTCTGTTCCTTAAGCATTGTGTCTTTGTCTATGGTTTCCTGCTTAGTCTCTTTTTCCTGTCTATACTTTTCTTGCTTCAACAACCTTATAGCCCATTTGGCATCCATGTATATCCAGCCTAGGTCCCTCTACTCTGAACTCCAGAATGTACCTCCAACCACGTCTTTGTTCTGTAGTACTTCAGGGAGTATTTATGCAGTGCCTGCTGTATGTTAGCCATTGTGCCTAGTGTTGTCAGTCCAGCGGGGAGCAAAACAGATGTGCCCGTGCCCCCCTGTGGTTATCAGTGGAAATGGGTACCCCAGACTTAGCATGTCCAAAACTATTCCCCTCCTCTCCAATCTCCCTGCTTCCCAAAACTCACTCACCCAAACACACCCCTCCTGTTTCTTATACAGTGACTCCTAGTGACAAATGAGGAAGCCAATCAGATTGTGTAGGTAAAGATACCGAAATCTTGGCTTAAAATAGTGGCAGTGGTGGAATGATCACATGTGAACTAATCCTTTCCCCTTTATGTTTCTGATTAACAGTTGGGTGCTTAGCTCAAGGTTTACTTTTGCTATAAAGCCTCGCATGGGTTCACTGTCTCCATGGTGGGCCCTTGAGCTAAGCACAGAGCTAAGTCCAGCACCCAGAAGGCTAGAAGATAGCCAAACAGTGTTCTTGTTTTGGAGACTGGAGAGACTTTTTTTTTTTTTAGTTAGGTTCCATACAAGAAGACATTCATAGTATCAGCTGCATAAAACATGAATTGGAAGTGTAGTTTTATTTTGATGTGTAGGTAAAAAAAAGTTTATCCTTTTATCTTCACCTGTTCATAGTAACTTTTTAGCTGTTTTGTTTTCTAGTGTTTAATGCCTGAGTACTTTGAACCTCAGATTGATGACATAAGCGAAGCCGCCTTGAAGGAACGAATTAAACTCAAAAAAGTCAAAGCTTCGGTGGATATGTTTGATCAGCTCTTGCAAGCAGGTAGCAAAGTTTAAAGTCACTCTACGAAAGTGGACTTAGAAGATGGGTCACAGTCATTTGATCAAGATAGTCTTGAATAAAACTTATAAGTACTACTGTATTTACTCTGTTAGATGGCTGTGTTGTTCATGAGTTTAATAAATATTTCAGGTTCTGCTTTAGCTTTGTTTTAAAATTACAGATGAGATAGAGTTATAGTTTTGTTAGTTTACTAGGCTCTTGTGCTGTACCACAGGTAGAGAAGTTATATAGCCATTCTTCCTCAGTTTCCAGTCTGTTTTTAACGTCATCTGGGTACATGTTGAATGTAAATTGTTCTGTACCCTTTTAAGTATGTTTGGAGGGCAGGGCCAGAACTGTAAGTTCAGCAGTCACATAAAACAAAGACATTTTAAAAGGAAAGAGCACTAAACTGTCAGACCAGGGGCTTGTATACTGGTGTCAGCTCTGACACTAACTTGCTCTCTGGCTTGAAGAAGTCACTTAATTCCCCAGAGCTTCTAGGTATAAAGTCCTTGACTCAAAGTTTGATCTGGGTGTAGGTCCAGCTAACATGGCTGATAAGCTCCCATGAGAGTGTGCCTGTAGTACCATGGAAGCATCCAGCATTATTTAAGGAAGAGTTTATGCAAGAGATGGAATTTGAGCCAAATCACTCAATACAGACTGGAACACAAAAAGAAACATTAGCAAAAAGCTGTGTTTGATTTGAGAATTTTGGTGTGCAGCCTTTTATGGCATTGGATCTACAAATGAATTGAAGACAGCAGATTATAATTTAAGTCTGCATTAAAATTCTTGGTTCTAAGGCCTGTTTTTTTCTAGTTTTACCTACTCTGTGTTGTAGGCACGTGCATTTATTCTGTAAACATTTTTTGAAGACTGTGTCAGGCCCACTTGACATTGTATTGTTTGTAGAATTTAATTATTGAGTTCATTCCCTGAAAATAATCATATACTTGGTCCTTAGAATGGCCTGTTTTGTTTCATTTTTTGGAGATCTCTCTCTCATTTATTTTTTTCTCCCAAATATAAATACAAGTATCATTTAATGCTCTTGCTTTTCCATTTGGATTACTCCCTTGAGTAATACAGAGCTGGTCTGGTAGTGGCAAATTCCCAGAGCTTCTGTTTGTTCGAGAATGTCTTGATTTCTCCCTTGTTTTTGAATGACAGCTTTGCTGGGTAAAGAATTCTGGGTTGGCAGTTGTCATTCAGTATTTTATATATGTTGCTCCATTGTCTTCTGGCCTCTAGAGTTTCTGGGGAGAAATTCACATTATATTGTACTTTTCTCTTGCTGCTTTCAGAATTCTCTCCTTGTCTTTGGTTTTCTATAATTTTATTAGGATATGGTGCGGAGTTGATCTTTTTGTGTCTGTTCTAATTGTGGTTTATATAGCTTCCTTTATTTGCAGGCTTGGTTATCTGTTCAGATCTAGGAAATTCTCTTTGACTGTCTCTTGGAAAATCATTTCTATACTTTATTGTTGTCATGGTGCTCTGGTATTCCAATAATTCTAATGTTAGTTTTCCTAATTGAGTCCCATATTTCCATTTGGGTTTTCTTGTTTTTCTGTATTCTTTTCTCTTGAGACTTGAGCAGTTATTTTGTCTTCTATTTCATTTATTCAATTTTCTGCCTCTTAGACTCTATGGTTGAGTCCTTCTCTTGCTTTTTGTAATTCAGTTGCTTTATTCTTCAGTTCCAGTAGTTCTCTTTGGTTTTTTGTTTTTTGTTTTTTGGATGTTTTCAGTTTCCTTTTTGAGTCTCTCATCTTATTCCTCTGTTTGTTTCCTGATATCCAGTAGTTGGTTTTCTGTTTGCTTTTTGCTTTCTTTAAACAGTTTAACACCTTAGTCTGAAAATTATCAATTCTTTGTGTTAATCTGGCCTCCATAGGAGAAATTTCCTCTTTATGTTTTGCTTTTCATTGGTCATTCCCTTGCGATTTTGTGTGTTTTACTATTTATTGTTGAACTTGAGCCATTTTGTCTTCTTTTTTTAACTTTAATTTTGTATTCTGATTTTTTGGGGAAGTTTTGTTTGGGCATCCTGGTGGCGCAGCGCCCAAGCACCCAGCTATCAGTTGAAAGGCCAGGGCCCACGCCCACCAGGCACTGCTTTGGAGACAGATGCAGCAACCCACCTCTGCAAAGACTCACAGCCCTGGGAACCCCATGGGGCAGCTCCATTCGAACCCACAGGGTTGGTATGAGTCAGAATTAACCCAGAGGCAGTGGACTTGGTATCTTCTCCTTAGAACCACTAGAGGGCACTCTTATCCTTGGGGTCCCCCCCCACCCCCCGCAGTGCTGGATGCTTGATCTCTGGAATTCAGTATGCATGCATGGGAACGGGTAGTGTTTAGCTGGTCATAGACTCTGATGTAAGCGATAGGGATCAACTTTCTAGAGGCAAAGGTCGGGGGTGATGTATGTCTTTCCCTCATGGGTGCCCCTGCACAGGCTCTCCTACAGTGTCTCGCTGTGCATGTTTTTCTGTCACCCATGAGTCTGAAGTATTCCCTCACTCTGCTGCCTTTTCAGTTCCTACCAGTCTTGCTGCCTATCCATCTTGGGCCTCAGCAAGATTCAACACCCCTCAATCGCAGTGTCAAGGCCTCCCTTAACTCCCTCCCGATTGCATGGCTCGTGGCATCCCACAGCCAACCTGTGCTGTCTTAAAAAATCGGGCATCAGCTTCCTCAGATTCGCCCCCTTTCTGTGTTCCCTGTTTGGAGTGTTGCCCAGCCCTGTCCCAATATGACTGTGAATGTGAGCGCTCCCGATGTTAGTGGGTAGCTTCTCCCACCTCTGGGCTCACTCTTACTCTCCAGCACCTCACCTGCTGCCTGAAGTTCTGGGATCTCAGCCTCTGCTTGTTTTTATTTGTTGTCCAGTGGGTCAGTCGCTGGCAGAATAAATGGGAGCGTCCACTCACTTTGCCGTCTTGCTCTGCCTCCTTTTTTAATTTCCTGATGGGCATTTTCGTTATCAGCGTAATATTTTATTTAGAAAGATGCAGTTACTCTTTTAAAATAGTAAATTATTTCATATCTTTTTTTCCTGTGCCCTTTTCTCCCTTCTTAATGAGTATCAAGATGGGAGCATAATGTTTGAGCAACAAGTTTTAAAAGGCTACTATCATTAGACACCTTAAACTAAAATTTCTGGGCAAGCATCTCAGTGGGGGGCCTGGGTCCAAGTAGAATCACTGTGCTTGTGTTTGTGTAAACAAAGCTGGGCTGAGGGGACTAAGTGGAAGTGGTTTGCAGTGTTCCGTTTGGGGATGGTCGGTGAGACCATGACACTGACAGTGTCTCTCGGGATGTGAGCACATAGAATCAGTGAGCTCAGGGTCCAGCTTTGTCATGTTTCTTAACTTCTGTCGGACTACATGGTTAGCAGGGACTCTGTCCCTATCTGCATCTCTTGGGTGTTCAAGTTGATGTTGAATGCATGCTTAGCGGTTGATAAAAATGATGGTTGATATTAACTGTATAGCCAACAAAGTCACAGCTCATAAAAAAGTGAAGAATTTTAACCTAATGTTTTTCTTTTAGATCTTGAGTGTGTCAAGATTCTTTTTTTCTTTTTTTTTTTCCTCCCTGCACAGGAACTGCTGTGTCTCTGGAAACAACCAATGGTCTCCTGGATTTATTGTGTTACTATGGTGACCAAGAGCCCCCCGCTGATTATCATTTTCAGCAAACTGAGAAGTCAAAAGAATTGGTAATGGCCTTCTAGAGTTCATGAAGATACTTTGGCATGGGTTTCTAAAGTTTCTTTTGGAAGTAATACCTTTCTCCAAATGAGGCTGGTTCTTCCTCGATATGTCAGGGTAGTAATGAGAGCCTCATACTGAGATGTGGTGCAGTAACCTTGATAAAAAGTGGTGTGCGCAGGAGGAAGAGAGAGTTAGACAGCTGCTTTAACCCTGCTTCCCTTTTTTAAAATATTCTGACCTTGCCTGTCACATGCAGGCAAAGCTTTGACCAGAAATGTTTGGCCGGGCCCCTCTGTTGTCACTTCAGTGGCAATATGATGTGTAATGAACAGAAAGGCTCCACGGCCCCCAGCCCTCTCAGAAGTTCATACACGCATGGACAGAGAGGCATGAGCACACTAGATGGGGTGCATAGAAGAATGTTTTGCCAAGGGCTGGCCTGCATGTCTTAACTTGGAGAGTTTTACTTCTAGAAATAGGTCCCAAAGAAACCTTTGGATCAGGTGAACAAAGATGTATATATAAGATATTTAAAATTGCATAAACGAATGTCAAGCAGAAAAGAAACAAAAGCAATCAGTGTCCAGTAGTAGGTAGATTAAATTATGATAGTGGAATGTTGGATAGTGATTGAGAATGCTAGTGTGGGTCTATTTGGTTATGGAAAAACTCATCATATATTAATAAAAACTCAACTGCCATGGAGTTGATTCCAAATTAGTAACCTTATAGGACAGAGCAGAATGCCCCATAGGGTTTACAAGACTGTAATCTTTACGGAAGCAGGCTGTCAACTTCTTTCTCCTGCAGAGCAGCTGGTGGGTTCAAACCACTGCCCTTTAGGTTAGCAGCTAAGCACTTAACCATTGTGCCGCCAGGGTTCCTCTGTATATTAATAAGTGGGGAAACAGGCTACATAACTATATGTATTCTTTTTCTATTTTTGTAAACATTGTTTTTATATGCATAAGAAAATCATGAAAATTTGAATGTGTCTCTCTGGGCGATAGGACTGGGGTGGATTTTTTGGCCTTTTCTAATTTGTCTCCACAAAATATGGATGATTTATATACAGTAATTAAGCCTTGTAAAGTGCATAGGCAGTGGGTTGCAGTCACACTCTACCATCCAGAGTACCTTCTGGAGGCCCTGGCCTGGCTCGTCCTCTGCCCCTCCAGTCCCACCTGGCCCGGTTTCTGGGGCAGCTACTGAACCAGCACCGAGCGATGCCAGTCAAGCCTGGCTCACTGTTCATCAGCCTCAGCCCAGAGCTTGATTTGTAAATGTAGGGCAAGATTTACTTCTTTTTTAAAAAAAAAGCAGATGTAGCTTGTATCGGGTCAGTGCTTAAAGACTTTGGGATTGATCAAGACGTGAAATCTCTACCCAGATAGGTTGTTTTGTCTTCCTTTCACCCTGATGATGAACAGTATCTTTGTATGGATCAATCCAGATGTCTTTCTAATATTTTCTGCCCCTGCGGAAACAGACTGTCATTTGATTTCCCAGTTTCCCTCTGGGCCAGGCAGACGGGGCACTGGCTTCATCTTGTCTCCGGGTCCTCGCTTGTTGCTGACGGGCCACCGTTGCTTTTCGTGTCAATTAGTGATTTACCCTGAAGGAATTAACATGTACAGGCATAAACATATATTGGCTTTCTCTCTGCCTCTGCTTCATCTGTTTTTCCCTTACTTTTTTAAAGTTCCCTTCACCTTCCTGATTTTGAGTAGTCTAACTGGGAGAATGCATCCTGTTGTTGTCTTAACTTTTGTTTTATCTCTGTTGATGACAATTTATTTCAGGAAGAGGCCACAGAGGAAGAGAATGAGAAATCTGGGAAGAGTGGTCATCAACATGGAAGTACTTGGAGGTATGTTGTTGTAGTTGTTGGGTGCCATCAAGTCAGTTCTGACTCACAGCATTCCCTATAGGACAGAGTAGAACTGTCCCCATAGGGTTTCCTTATGGGATCAAATCACCAGGTCTTTTCTCCCACGGAGGGGCTGGTGGGTTTGAACTGCCAACCTTTCTGTTAGCAGCCACGTGCTTAACCATTGTGCCACCAGGGTTCCTTACTCGGAGGTATGTTACACATATATAACAGCTGATATTATTATAGTTTCATACCGTGCATTGACTACTTCCCACCATCTCCCCCCCAGGAACCTACTCTGTGATCTAAAATAAAATAGTTCGTTTTCAGTGTGCAATGTTAATTTTAAAAATTTGTGTTCATAGTATTTGGACCTTTTTTATAAGGTGCAGCAGCACAAAAATCTGTTTCGAGGTTGATGTTTGTTTTATTTTTTCATTTGATTCTGTGTGACCTTCACACGGTGTGGTTCGTTTGATAGTTTCATCAGTAGTGCTACCTTGCAACATATACCTCTAAGTCACTTTTTATTCTGAAAGATTTGGTACATTTTGTTTCATAAAAATACACATACACTAAAACTCAAACCTACTGCTATCAAGTTGATTCTGACTCATAGCAACTCTGTACAGCAAAACAGAACTGCCCCATAGTGTTTCCAAGAAGTGACTGGTGGATTTGAACTGCCGACCTTTTTGGTTAGCAGCCGAGCTCTTAACCACTGCACCACCAAGGCTCCATACATACACTAGAATGTGGTGCTAAGTTAACATTGCTGTCCAGCAAGCAAAAATATTCAGTTTCAAACGACAAGTAATATAACATTTAGCTACATGTGAGAATTTAAATTAACTGAAGTTACTTTTGAGGTAAAAACTCGTTGTCGGCAAGTTGATTCCAACTCACAGCAACCCTATAGGACAGAGAACTGCCCCATAGGGTTTCCAAGGAGTGGCTGGTGAATTCGAACTGCTGACCTTTGGTTAACGGCCAAAAAATTTTAAGGTAGAAGTATCTAAATTAAAGATACTTGTGGTTAAAATCTGGAGAAAGAAAGTTACCGTTTATGTCAAATCTTTTTTGAAGTGATGAATTTAATAGAATCAAAGATAAAATTTCTTAGGGTAGATTTTAGTAATTTTGCATAGTGATTAAGAGCATGGACTTTGGAATACGGTCTTGGCTCAAATCCTGGTTCTGTGTGAAAAGCACCTGGTTCTGTGTGAAAGCACAAGGTACAGAATAGTTTGTATAATGTACCATTTTTTTGTTTTGTTTTTTTTAAGAGAATAAATATATATATGCTACAGTATGGCAAAATCTATTTGTAGATATTTGTCTCTAGGGAGTTGTATTTGAGAGTTGAAGGAAGATGGGGAAATTTGACTGTATAACTTGTACAGTTTGGTTTTTGTTTTTTAATACCATGAGTATATATAACTTTTTCATAAAAATTTCCCCTATAATCCTGATTCTGCCATTTTACTGTGTAGCCTTGGGCGACTTACGGTCTCTTGAGCATGGGTTTTGTCTCATTTCCAGAATTATGATAACAATATCTTCCTCTCTGGGTTGTGAGAATTAAATGGGAAATATGCAGATAGTGCTTGACACAGTGCCTGGAACATTGTAAACTCCCAATACATGATAGCAGCTATTATTAACTTTTCCTGTTTCGCCTGGTTCACATCTAGAGGAAAGAACAACGTGGAGAGGATCTTTGCTCTAATGCCAGAGAAAAATGCACGTTCCTACTGCACAGTGATCCGGGGAATGGTGAAGGTACAGTTGTTTATATTTGCAATCCTGCATTTCCACTACAGCAGACATTTTGGGCTGGATAATTCGTTCTTGTGGGGGCTGTCCTGAACGTGTAGGATGTTGAGTTGCTCCCTGGCCTCTGCCCACTGGATCCCAGTAGTACCCTCACCTTTGCAGTCGTGACAACCAAAAATGTCCCAGGAAGGCCAAACTGCCCCAGTAGAGAACCACTGCCTGAGAGTATAAGCTTCATGAGAATAAGGACCTTGTCTGTTTGTTTACTTCTGTATTCCCAAACTCTAGAACAGTGAATGTGCAAATATGTCTCAAATGAATGCATTTAGTTTTTACACTATCTCTCTTCCAGCACCGAGCAAATGAGCAGGCATTAAACTTGTACACTGAATTGTTGAACAACAGACTCACTGGTGAGTATGTTCTGGGAACTCCTTTCCCTTCTTCTCTCTGTTTTTCTTCTTTCAGTAATCCTTGTGAGATCGTTTGGCGCTTACCTTGATCAATGGCCCATTTTCCTCTTCGTGTGGCATTGCTGATTGATGCAGGAGGAGAGAGCCAAAGAGCAGAGTGACTTTCCAGTGTTGTGGGCACGTGGCAGGGCCACCTTTCCTTAAATTGAGCCACTTAGTAGTTAATCTTCAACCCCAAATTGTGCTGAAGTAGTTTTCTTCTTTTACAGCTGATGTATACACCTTCAATGCTTTGATTGAAGCAACAGCATTGACAGGGAATGACAAATTTGAGGAGAAATGGAATAAAATACAGGTAAGGAGGAACTCTCATTTTGTCTTCTAATAGGCCTTAAATACGTTTTACTATAAAGAAATAACATGGGCGAGAGACAGTGGTGTTCATTTGGTACCTACATGGCAGTCACTGTGCTGGGCACTCAGAGAGGTTACCTGTTATACCGCCCTTCCAGTAAGTTGTAAGTTAAGTAGCTGTGTCCGACCTGTGGGAAGAACAAGTTACTTGACCCAGAGCATACACCTAGAATTCACAAAGAGCTGAGTTGCCGTATTCACTTATTTTTCATTATAGTTTTTTAATCACAAAAGTAGCACGTTTATTGTAAAATTGTTATCGGATAAGTTCAAAAAATGAAAACCACTGGATTGATTGTTGTGTGATAACTTAGGAGCAGAAGCATGTTTTTATACTAGGCATTTAAAATAGCAAAAGCACAAAATCCATTCTGGTGTTTTCTTGTACTTGAGTCTTTCCTGGAAGACTCACTAGACAGAGGCTTAAAGACAGTTGGACACCTTGACCAGGTGGGGTGGGGTCGCTGAGGGGGGTGCTTCTCTAAAAGGTTTTCCCAGCAAGGTCACTGGTCCTGCTAATTAATCAGTAATTCTTAAATCAGGCTTATCTTCATTATCCTGCTTTAGATATAGCCTGAATGCCAAATTCTTCTTTTTTTTTTTAAAGTATGAATCTACCCAGGCGTAAAAAATGCTTCCTGCTTTTGATTCATTAGGAGCTGTTGAAACATATGGTTGCACAGAAGGTGAAACCAAATCTCCAGACTTTCAATACCATTCTGAAATGTCTCCGAAGATTTCATATAATTGGAAGAGTGCCAGCCTTACACACCTTGCGTGAAATGAAAGCCATCGGGATAGGTAAGGGTGTGTCTAACGGCCCCTCCCTGAGGACGTGTGCTGTTTAGGTGTTTCACATTCAGATAATCGGAAACAGTGCTGTAAACTCTTGTGTTGCTATTCGGTATAAAATGTTAGGAATTTTGTTTTCACCATTTGGCACACTTAATTACATGTGCTTACTATGTCAGGAGCCCCTTTGTAGTCTTCACACTCTTAATAGTAAATTACATTGTTTTTTCAGTATGTTATGTACTTTTTTATGAATCTGTTAATTCTGGGAAGATTGTTTCATTTGAGTAAGCTAGTTTTAAATTCCATGACATTTTCTAGCATATTGAGGTCTTTGAACCCAGACTACTAGCATGTTGTATATTTTTTAGTAATTACTTAATTGAATGTTTTCGAAATCAGTTCAATATGCTTTAGTGTTATTAAATGAAGAATCATACTGTAAGTACTTTAGCTATAACATTTTTGTAGTAGGCATTTAACCCAAAACCAAACCAAACCCACTGCTGTCGAGTCAATTCTGGCACATAACAACCCTATAGGACAAAATAGAACTGCCCCACAGGGTTTCCAAGGGGCAGCTGGTGGATTCGAACTGCTGACCTCTTGGTTAGAGCCAAGCTCTTAACCACAGCACTACCAGGGCTCCAGTAGGCATTTGGACTTTTTAAAATAATGTAGTCTTTACAACTCTTTTAACCTTTATCTGTCTATGTTAAAAGAAATAGAAATGAGTTTTGATTAAATACCAACGTCAGTGTTTTCAGTTCAGTGTACCTTAAGATATATTTTAGACAGCTTTGTTTTGACTTACTGTATTTCTTATTTTTCTCTCCACTTCGTAATTCAAGAACCCTCGCTTGCAACATATCACTATCTTATTCAACTGTTTTATCCCACTGGTATGTATTACCTTATGTTACATTAATTTATGTAGAAAATTGACCAATTCCCTTTAGTTTACATGATTGTTACAGGTTACCTTTTTGGAGTTCTTGGAGAATAGAGTTCATGAATTAACACCTACAGCCTGGGAAAAAAGTTATTCTGAAGGTCATGACCTTGTTAGTGATGTACAATTTGAGCTGGAGGGGAAGGAGTTACAAAAAGCAGTGCTGGTATACAAATAGAAATGGTCAGAAAATATCTAGTTCGGAGAGCCTCGTGCTCTCCAGAGCTGTGCTGGCCAGTAGACTAGCTACTAGCCACGTGTGGCTGTTTAACTTCATTAAAATGAAATAAAAATCCTTTTGTTGAATTAGTTCTCAGTGCTGGTGGCTAGCCTGTTCAGTGATGCAGATGTGGAACATTTTTCCATCATGGCAGTGAGTTCCGTTGGACATTGCTGCTCCAGATTAACATTACACGTACTTTGAAGCCTTTTGGGAGAGCGTTGAGGCTCCATTTGTCGTCATCTTTTAGGTCAGTCAGGAAAATTGTAGATGGAGTTGTGTCTGTCGAATGGGCTTTGAAGCGAGGCACACCTGAGTTGTAACTGCAACTCTAACATTTACCAGCTGTGTCAAATGGAAATGGCTTCCTACCTAAGTAATAAAATTAGGGCTGTAGTGATGAAATTAATTACTCACGGTGCCTTGTGCCTACTTGGAAGGCACAGAGCAGGCAGTCACAGTCTGTTTGGTCTTACCGGTTTGCTCCTAACCTGAGAAAGAACCCTAGGTTCAGAAATGACAGTGCTAGTAATTCTTTCCTGCAATAGACTTTATAAACAACAGAGGAGTTTTGTTCTTTCTGAGCTGGAGAACTGATTTTACAAAATCTACATCCTCACCTATTAGGGAAGTTTTTTATCTGCTGGGGAAAAAAATACAGGTAACTGACTTTATCTTGGAAACAGGCAAACAGTTTTCCACGGCAATTGACTGCTACAAAATATTCCTTAGCCTTGGTGAGATTGTGGGGGAACTAGTGCTTCTGACCCCAGAGCCTGTTCCTTTCCTCTGGACCATACTGCATCCCTTTTGTTGAGTTGCCAACCAGAGTCAGTGGTGCTTAGGTCTCAGAAGAGGCAGCCATGGTCATGTTTGGAGAGGAGGGGCAAGTCGGTTTGTCTTCAGTGTAAAGATAGGCTGCAAAATAAGACCCAATAATAATTCCTAGGAGTTGACCCCAAGGAGAGCCCCTAAAATAATGAAAACAGTATGTTTAAGTAAAATATTAAATATTTAATAAAGTAACTAGGAATACTAGCAAATGGAAACATGATTAAGGAAATTATAAAAGCACATCTGTGCTTTCATTAGAGCTATATTATCACCTGGATGAGGGCACACTAGATAAATAATGGGATTTTACTAGGGATCTTGTAAATGAATTTTCTCATCTATTAGTACTTAGCTCGTGTGATTTTAAAGGACCGCCCACATTTATTAATTCTACAGTTTTTTTTCTTGGCCTTCTCACCTTGATTGTATTTCAGAGAAACGTGTTTATTTTTGAGGTATGTAGGTTTTCGGGGGGTGCATGTTTGCCTCTCACCTCAGTGAAAGTCAGGCTCACCTCAGTGAAAGTCAGGCTTCTTATGAAGAGACTAAGAGGGAACAGAGGAGCCTCTGGTTGGAACAGGTGGACAGAGACCTGATTGTCCCCAATCTAGCGGAGCCCTGTACTCTGCAGGGTGCATTTATCCCTCAGCGAGCATCTGCCCCTGCCCAGCCCTCTGCCAGGCTGTGGGCAGGAGGTGGAGGGAAGGAACGTGCGCCTCTGCACTGGGTGGTGGGGCTTTGGTGGTGGTCCAGGAGGTGGACTCAGAACCCATCTGCGTTCTGCCTCTGCAGAAAGCTCTTCAAAAATGTCATCCCTCATCATCTATGACATAATGAATGAATTGACGGGGAAGAAATTTTCTGCAAAGGACCTGGAAGACGGTATGTACGGAAATTGCTCCCTCATCTGAAGCCTTTTCTTCTGAGTGCCAGTTAATTAGAGACCTTGCATATTTGGGAGATGAGGACAGGGTTTAGTAATATTTAGGGTGATTATTCTGAGAAAACCAGAATGTCTGGCAATTTGCTGTAGACTTCCTCTCCTCTTGGGTTTTTATTCTTTTAGCTTTATCTTATGTTACCAGTTACATTGCCAGGACTTTTATTAATGTTTCTGACGTAGAAAATTTATTATGTCCATTGTAACCAAGGCTTTCATGAACTTTGATTTTCAGATATGTTTTTTCAGTCAGCCATGAGAGTTGTAAGTATCATTTCTTGTTTAGTTATTGTCCCCTTTTTAAAAGAAGGTTCCTGTCCATTTCCTAACTTGATCTGTAATTGGACCTCAGCTTACTCAGCAGCCTGGCTTCTCACCCTGGGCCTTTCACTGCCTCACTTTTACTTCTGTTCGTGTCTTTTTCATTTTCTTCTCTTTCTCTAAAGTCTGTAGTTTTTAATCACCTAACATTGTTACCTTGTGTTTATTGTACAAATTGCCTTTTTCCGCATCTCTGTTCAGATAAGGTTTCTGAGTATTTCATTTTTGCCTGTTAGTAAGTTTTTAAGTTGATGACTACTTTTATTTAGGTTTTTTTTTCTTTTCATTTAATCATGCTCACCATAGGAGCAAGTTCAGGTAGTTTCTGAATGAATGAAGTGCATCCTATTCTCTAAAGATAATTGATTTACAGTTTAGTGTGTGTCTTTCCAGATTTTTTCCTTTGTGTTCAAACATGTACACCCAGATAAACTTCCATGGGGTTTTGTTTTTTTACAGCAATACAGTATTTCATAGAAAAGACTGTAATTTACATCAACAAGTAATAAATTGAATCAGCATAAATTTTTTTTTTTTTATTGTACTTCAGGTGAAGGCTTACAGAACAGATAGTTTCTCATGAAACAGTAGTACACATATTGTTTTATGACATTGGTTAAGAACCCCACAACATGTCAGCCCTCTAACTTTTCAGTCTGTTTTTTTTTTTTTTTTTTGGTGAAAATACGCATAGCCAAAGATACACCATTTCAAACATTTCTACATGCACAGTTCAGTGACATTGACTACGCTCTTCCAATTGTGCTGCTATTCTCACTTAAGATGAAGGCTTACAGAACAAAATAGTTTCTCATTTAACAGTTACTACACATGTTGCCCTATGACAATGGTTAACAATCTCACAACACATCAACAATATCCTTACTCAACCTTGGGTTCCCTATCACCAGCTTCCTTGTCCCCTTCTGCCTTCTGGCCCTTGTCACTGGACTACTGTATCTCATTAGCCCCTTTTGGTTTTACGGGGCTGTCCACTCCCAGGCTGAACAGTGAACCTCGGAGATAACTTCACCACTGAGCTAAAAGGGTGTCTGGGGGCCATGCTTTTGGGGTTTCTCCAGTCTCCTTTAGGCCAGTAAATCTGGTCTTTTTTGTGTGAGTTAGAATTATGTTCTACATCCTTCTCCAGCTCTGTCCAGAGCCCTCTGTTGTGATCCTGGTCAGAGCAGTCAGTGGTGGTAGCCGGGCACCATCTAGCTGTACTGGACTCAGTCTGGTGGAGGCCTTGGTAGCTGTGGACCATTAGTTCAGCATAAATATTTCTATAAGTAACTACTGTTTTATGTAGTTGGCGGCTGTTTGGCTGATAGGCTCTCAGAGTAGTACTTACTTAACACTTGCAAATTGTCAGTGCTCGTCCCTCAGAGATCTGGAACTTGCTTACCAAGTGCATGACCTTTTGAACACTGGAGACAACCGGACGTTCCTGGGACCGGCTCAGCGGCGTCATTTCTATTAGTAAGTGTGCTGGGGATGCGTCCTTTGGCGTTAATGGAGGGCCTGCTTTTTGACGATGAGTAGATTCTGCAAGTGGCAGGCTGTTGGTGGCCCTCCGTATCTCATCTGCTCTCCTTTTAGGCAGCATGCCTCTGATTTAATAGTTAAGTTTAATTGAGCACTTAGAACTTAAAGTAGGGTAAAACTGCCAGAATGGGCAGTTTGGCGTGTATCTTTTTTTTTTTTTTTTTCCCCTCTGAAATGCTTTAAAAATCCACGTACCTTTTTCTCCCATCTCTGCTCCCTACTCCTCATATTTTAAATTTTTGAATTGTTAGAGCAGGATGGGTCCGTGAAGATTATCTTGTCCCAGCCTCTTGCTTTTGTTTTTAAAGATGAAGATGCTGGTGCCTAGACAGGCTCCTTCAGTAGGTTGCTTAGGCAGATAGAACATGGACTTCAGGAGGCAGCTGTTAGGTGTGTGATGACCGTTTGCTGTGTGTCCAGGGCCTTCTTCATAGTGAATGCTTTCAGACAAATGCAATATTCGGTGTCATCAATCGTATGTTGACGTGTCAGCCTATAACCGTGCCTTGATTTAATTACTCCCCTGTGTTAGACTGGAAAGCTTTTAGGCTAAGTTTACCTCTTCTCTCTGTCACAGCTACAAGTTCTTCAATTTGCTTTGTCTGATGGAACAAATTGATGTAACCTTGAAGTGGTACAAGGACCTGATACCTTCAGTAAGATGGTTCACTGTGTATCATGTATCATTGTAGATGAGTTTGTATGTTTATTAATGCTTTAAATAATATATTTGAATTTCTCTTAATCAGGTCTTCTTTCCCCGTTCCCAAACATTGATAGATCTTCTCCAAGCATTGGATGTGGCCAATCGGCTAGAAATGATTCCTCAGATTTGGAAAGGTCAGTTTCAGCTTGTGTGTCCAGGCCCATATCTCTTAAATGCCGTATGTTTTGGTTAACAAACATTACCATTTATTACTAACGATAAAAACTCCCATTTTTGACTGAATTGAATATAGTAGGTGAGGGCAGCGTCAGGCTCACTTGCTCACATTGCATGTTGGATTGCATGAGTGAGGACGTACTGAGACCACCTAAGTTATTCCCGTCATGACACAGGAGAAGGCTGAGTTCTGCACACCTGCCTGTGACGTGTCCCAGGGAAGATGAGTGCTAGTTAAGTGGCAGACAGACCCTAAACCGGATTGCATGTCTCTGACTTCAGGCCTGCTCCATTCCTCTGCACCATGGTGCATCCCTTTGGTTTAGTTGCTCACCAGAGTCGATGATTAAGTTTCTAAGTCATGGCCGTCATCGTGGTTTGTGGGTGTTGGTCTGTCTGATGTGTATGAATTGGCTGCAGAATAAGACCGATTCTGTAGCTCTTCCACTAGATGATATTACAGTTATCATAAAGCCAATTTCTACCTGCCTCAGTTTCTGTAACTGAGATCCTGCCCTGTTACTTCACCAGACTGCTCTAATGGTTGTGTATAAAAGAACACTGAAGATTCCAAAGTACTGTATAAAACAGTGTCTTACCCTATCAAGGTGGTGGCTGCTCAGGTGTAGTGTGTGCTGTGTCTAACAGGATGCCAGCCTCTTGGACGACACCTGCCCAGGAACAGGCCAACTGGCACAGGCTTTCGCTGCTGCTTTGCGCTTTATTACCAAGAATTAGTCCTGTTGGGTTTCTGGAAGCCTGGAACAGCTCCTGTTAATTTATTTTCACCTACCGAAAAGTATAGGTGACAGCTGACAGTGGACAAAGGTCAGCCACAAACAGCGTTGGTTTTACATGGTGATGATCACTCTTCACTGTGCTTCTTTCTTGTTTCAAGATAGTAAAGAATATGGTCACACTTTTTGCAGTGATCTGAGGGAAGAGATCCTGATGCTCATGGCAAGGGATAAGCACCCACTAGAGGTAAGGATATATTGAAACCCAAGTTTCGTTGTTACTAGATGTATACTAATAGCATGCTCTTTAATATTGATGTCTTTGGAAGGGTCATTCCAGTCCATCCTTGTGGAGAATTCTGCCACCCAGACGCGGATTTAAATTATGCTCACCTAAACAGATCCAGCCATTAGCGGAATTCCAAAGTTATCCTCATTCCTGTAGTCCAAAGCAAGTAATATGAAGATAGCTTCTCGCTCTCCTGATGATTAGCACCTTAAAATTTTTATTTCTATCCAAGAAAATCCATAGCTGAATTGAAAGATGTGGCTAATCAGATTATTTATCCCAGGACAGGTTGTGTTCTGTTTTTACTGTATTAATTGAGTGCTGTACATCTAATGGAAACCCTGGTGGCATAGTGGTTAAGGATTTGGCTAACCAAAAACGTCGGCAGTTCGAATCCACCAGACGCACCTTGGAAACCTCGTGGGGCAGTTCTGCTTTGTCTTGTAGGGTTGCCATGAGTTGGAATCGACTCAGCGGCATCGGGTTTGTTTTTTTTTGGTTTTTTAAATGTGTGATATGTTCCGATGTTAAAATGCGTTGCTCAGAAAATGTAATGGTCCCGCGGGAGTCTCTTGAACGTAAACACTCATAAAGCAGTTAGGCAGTCCTGCTGACTCAGAGCCTCTCAGCTCCAGGTGGTGTTTGCTGACTGTGCTGCAGACATCAAGTCTACTTACGAAAGTCAAGATGCCAGACAGACTCACTCGGATTGGTCAGCCAGAACTCTGAACTGTATAGCTGTTCTCTTTTTAAGAGCTGGGAGAACCCAGGAAGCCTGGTGAGTACACTACTACCAGTGTAAGGTAGAAGCCTTTGGAAACATTTATCTTGGTCACTAGAGACCCTCTCACTAGACTCTGATTGGTAGTTATTGGGACCCAGTGAAATGTGTACCAGGTTTTCTGTAATGAGTCTTCAGTGGGAACTTAGATACTTAATACATAATAAACAAAATAAGGTGATCAAAGAAACTTATTTTTTAAATGTTTTGCAGACTGGTTACTGAAGATCATTTGATTTGTGGGTGCTTTCCCCTCCTAGCCTAGAATGTGCGCTGGGTACTTAGACTTATGGAAACTGGCATTTACTAAGCATGGCCTTGACAAAACCTCTGGCTGTGTCTGCTTTGTGCCACTGTGTTCTCCTTAAGTGTTTCTGTCAGCACTTCATTCACATCTTCACTTGCAGTGTTTAGTCATGAATGGTGACCTTGTGCAGTCATCTTGTCTGAAGAAAAGACAAGCAGAAGGTTAGTTGGTGAGGGTAGTCACAGTTCGGTGGTTCTGCTGTTTTGTTTGGGTGTGGATGTGCTGGTTCTAAGAGTCGGTAAGTGGGGGGTCCTTGTGCACGGCATCTTCACAAGAACATAATTGGAACCCCTGACCGCCAGTCCACAATGTGGCTGTTAAATACATCCAAGAAAAGACGTGAAAGCTTGTTGACTCACCTGGTCTCAGAATTGCATCCCGTTCACTTACACGACTTGCTAGGAACTGTGTTGCTAGTGACAGAAGCATTCACTGTTAGTTTGTCAACTCAGGCAGATTGACATACACTTGCTGTGAATCAGGCTGTGATGATTGGCGCAGGGGTACGGACCTCAGCTGAGCCATGGGAGCTGAATGTCTGTGTTTCTCCTTCCTCCTGCATGTGGCAGGTTGATGGTGAGCACTGACATGAGACTGATGCCTCAATCTGAGCCTGCTCTTCATAACGTAACTGTGGACAGACGGGACCCAGTGCCCTGTCGTGAAAGAGAATGTAGACCGTGCTCTGTCCATGTCTCAGTTCCAACTGTCCATGGGATGTAGTCCTTCCCTGGGGGACAGAGTGATCTCTGGCTGGTATGAGCTCTAATCCATTTAGTTCTCTGCATTGCTTAGGCCCCCGCTAACTTTGGCATTTGATATAAGCCTTTTTTGGGTGTAAATCAACCTTGCATCTACTTAGTGGTCAGAATGTGAATTTTCTGAAATTCCAGATGATGCTTGCCCATTTTCAAATTAGAAATCAAACTCCTGCCTCTTCCGGGCTCCTATTTGTACCTTTCTGTTGCCATTTCTATTCTCTTCCTCTCTCCTATCCTCCTTCCCTTCCTGTAGAGCACCTACTAGAGGACATACTTCAGCAGCCTCAGCACTGGCAGCGTGTCACGTTTACTGTGACCGCGTAGTGCAGACATCGGAGCTGGGATGGGGGGATTGTGACGTCCAGACAGGTTGGGAACGGATAGAGGCACGGATCTGTGGCTTCAGGAGCTAACGCTGTAGTTAGGCAGAAAAGGACACTTTGTCTGAGTCCAGAGTGAACTACTACCGTCAGCTGGTTGCCTTGTTTTTCTGTTCATATTCATAACTTTTCTTCTATCTTGTCCTGCACAGGAAGATGCTGGGGCTTTTCAGGAAGCATAATAAGATCCCCAGGTAAGTTGAAGTTCACAGGCACCACCTGCATACAGCCTGGAATTAGCCACATGGGCTTGACCCTGACTGTGGGGCGATTGGGTTTCTTCATCTGCTGCAGCCACCACGTTTGGCGCTCTTCTGAGGGGCACGCACACAGTCGCCCCACCACCAAGGGCGTCTATGCTCGGTGATTGCACCCGACATACTGGGACAATGTTGAGTAGGTCTTTGACGAATAACATATTTAATGAATGTTCATTATCTGTTTGGCTCTTTAAAAGTGAGTCTCATATGACTTTGCCTTCAAAAGCTACTGCTAAGGATTTTACTGCTGAACTTATGTTAGCTCCTTGCATATAAATCTTTGACAGAAGGGGTGGAGAAGTTTACTTGGGGAATGCTCACTTTTGGCTTTTTGTTTACAGAAATGAGTTGGTGAATGAGTTTATGGACAGTGCAAAAGCATCCAACAGCCCTGGCCAGGCCATTGAGGTAGTGAGGCTGGCGAGTACCTTCAGCTTACTTGTTTGTGAGGACCTCACCCAGAGAGTGATGGCTGACTTTGCACTCAGCCAGGAACAGAAGTAAGTGGTCCTGTGTCTTCCCCATGAAGGAAAATTATAAAAACAGAGCAGACCATTTGTTCTCTCAGACATTTATAGCTTTCTGTCCCCTGAATTTATTTCTTGCCTCGTGAAAAGTCAAGGTGTATTAATTTAAAAATTACATGTTTATCATAACAGTTAGGGAAGCCTATAGATTTGGCTGTTGGAACCTTTTATTTTTAAAGTTTAGTGTGGCTATAATGTCCCTTTTTTTATTTCAGAAGTAATGGGTGATAGGTGAGTGTCAGAGACTCTGGGAGCCCCATCCCGAGGCTGAGTTGTACTGTAACCCTCCGGCTTGTTTTCCTTCTAGGGACACCCTGAGAAAGCTCACTGCGTTGACCAGCGACAGTGACAGCAGCAGCGACAGTGACAGCAGCAGTGACACTGACATCAGTGAAGTCAAATAAAGGGACAATTCAGGAACAGCTGTGGCTAGAGTGGACGCTGTCATCACACTTAACTGAGATGCTAATATTTAGTGATGATATGAAGGAAACAAGGGAATACAGACATGGTGAATTTGTTACTATGAAGTACAGTTAGTGTGACACTGATTTAGAATAAGTATTTAAATTAAGCTGCTAATTTGGTATTTATTAAACCATCCATTAATGCATCACTGAAAGCTTACCATTTAAGCAGCAGCACTACCATCTTCATTTCTTTGGGCACAAATTGTACAGTATGTAGCTCTTGGCTCCATGATAAGCTCTGCAGACCTGCAGTGTGTGTGGCTGACTTCATCTTCAGCACCTGCCTGCCCTGTTCCTGGGCTTCAGCCTTGCACTGCCCGATGCTATGGCATTTGACCTCACAAAAGGTGTCCACAGAAGGTTTTTGTACAATGGCTGCTTGGTCAGTAGTACCCCAACTTCAGAGTTTTTTAGATGTGAAAAACTACATCTTAGAATCCATTAAATAGGATAATGGCAGGAGTTTAGACTGCACAAATGGTAAAATGGAAACTGTAAATAAATACTGTGATTCATGTCCATGTGTATGAGTTTCCGTACTTTTCACAGACTTTGCCTTGGTTTTCCCACATGGGGCTTACCCAAGTGTCTCCTCACCCTCTTTCTTCCCCCTTCTCTATGCTGTGCCTGTTGTAGTGGTGCTGCGTAAGTGGTCCACATGAGGGCTTGCGACAAAAGATGTGAATGAATGTTTTATTGGCATGATCGTGCATTGCTACTAAGCAGGCTGGTTGAGTATTTGGTTCATGTTTTCTCTTGCATGTCAGAGCTCAAACAGATCTGAGGGGCAGAGAGAAAATTGCCAGTATGATAATTAGCTACTTAAGCATTCATGTGTATTGATCCATTAGCCCCTTGACATTACATCAAGAAGCAAAAGGGCAAATAGGGCAGATCAGCTTTTGATCTTGGTTTACAGGAGAACCTGGTTGCCCGGAAGCCTTTGTCAACTCAGCCACTTGCATCCTGTCTGGTTCATCGACACCTGCCAATGCTTAACTCCCTTCCTGACCTTAGTGCTTGGCCTTGGAAGCATGGTATGTTTCTTCCCGTGCCAGGCCCTAACTGAATCATCACATTGCTCTGTAGCTAGAGTTGGTGGGGAGAATCCACCTGGGCTGACATCAGGTATTTGTAGTAGACTATCAGAGTAGGTGCTATGGCGCTCAGTGATTTTTTTTAATGTGTTACAGCTATTGCAAACCCCCATCTGGGCAAATAACTGCCTCAACTTTTCAGAGGAAAATTGAGGCCCATAGGATGGGCCTCCATTCTCTTCCATTTGTTAATGTCTTTTTCATCCATGGCGTTTATCAGTAAGATTTTCTTCTGTGCCAAAGGTAATGACCTCTCATCTTTGGTTTTGGTCCTGGCAGCCCCTTTACTCTAACCCTAACTCCTGTGTCTTTTGCCTTCACTGGTTCGTTCCCTTCTGTTTATAAGCTTGCCCATACGGTTTCCCTTAGAAAATTCTGAAGTTGATCTTTTTATAACATTGTTCCCTTTCAGTCGCCTCTCATGAATAGTCTATGTATGCTGTCTGTACTTCCTCACTGCTGTACACTTGCATACAGCTCAAGTAGTGCACTCCTAAAAGGCATTATTTACTAAAATGAGTAGCTTCTTGGTGGTGCAGTAAAACCCCTTGTTTGTAATACTCTGACAGAACATGCAATTTAACATTTCTCAGCTGATGTGGAAATGTATTTACATCCTGAAATTCAATTCAACATAGAAAACAAAATGAAAAGGGGAAAGGTTTGGGTTATATTTTAGAACTGATTAGAATCAAGTTCTGAAAAGCCTTGAAGAAATCAGAAAGGAGATGAGCGGCTTTAATGGTGTCAGAGCTGAGGCATCACCATCAAGTGCGGGTAAAGCAGCCATGTGTCAACAATCAGGAACAAGCCTTTTGTAAATGGGGAACCTATGAGGGTAAACTGAGAAACTGAGCTAGAGGGTCGCTATGAGTCGGAATTACTCGACAGCAACAGGTTTGATTTTGGTTTGAGCACCGGAAATGTGAAGGCTAAAGGGAGGAGTCTTAAGATGCGTGGAATGAACTTTTGGCGTTGCCTCAGAGTTAGATTGCTAATGTGTAGAAATTAGAAATGAGCGGATTTTTTGTTCAGAGCATTTCTGTCTTATGACAGTTCTCTGTCATACCAGTATTCAAGCATAACCCTGAACAGCCATTGATAGGATTTAACAGTCCCATTCCCAAATGTCTGCTATAGGTCCATAAATGCTGCCTTCTCTGCAAAGGTGTCATTGATTTTAAGACCCTACTGTTAACCTGCATTTCTCACACTTGTGGTATCCTTTACTGTATAAACACTACACCAAGCACCAGGCTTAGAGGAAAAGCTATTAGATGGTACTGTCATTGGTTATGTAACTATATTCTATGTAATAGGGTAGTGTCTAACCGTAGGGCCCAACCCATTCGCTAGTCTTGAAATCAATTTTTGTGGGTGGTGATGACCAAAAATTTTTAATAGAATAGAAAGTCTACTAAGTGCGCACATGCAGTAAAGCTATTGTCTCATGATTTGTGATGTTATTTACACTGTAGCAGATGTTAAAAAAATCCGCATGTATACTAGATTATGATGTACATTTTTTACTGTAGTTCATGGTCAAAAAGGAGCGCTGGTGGCACAGTGGTTAAGAGCTCAGCTGCTAACCAAAAGGTGGACAGAATCCACCAGCTGCTTCTTGGAAACCCTATGGGGCAGTTCTAGTCTGTCCTGTAGGCTCACTATGAATCGGGTTTGGTGTATGGTTAAAAAAGTTTGAAAAACATTGAGATAGGATAACACTATGTGATTGCAGAGTCACTAGGAGCATGAGCCGGGGAAGGCAAGTTTTATAGAAACATTTAGATTAGACCTTAGAGGTAAAGTGACGTTTTACCTGAGAAATGGGGATATTTGATTTGGCTGCTGTAAGGCAGTATGTTAAGACATGGGAAGACTGAATGTAAGGTACACAAAAGAGTGGGCAGTAAGTCTTCAGCTTGGCCCAGGAAGGACCCCAGCCTATGAAAGAATATTGTCAAGTGGACCTATATACATCGATGGACTTTAGAAAGGATCAGGAAGGCCTGCTGGGGATCAAGCTCAAGTTTACAGAGCTCAGCAAGAGTAAAGACTTGAAAAGGAGGAATGTGCAAGAGGAGTAAAGGTCATGACAGGACCGACTCCATCCCAGCCGGGTCGCCAGTGTCCGGCAACGGCCCCTTCCTGGGCTCGCCTACAATCCCTCCAGAGCCCCTTTCTCTTCCTGTGGACCCTACAGCAGTGCCAATACAGCCCACTAAAACTAACAAGTCAGTGAAACCCTGCCACTTCTCACGGGCCAGGTGACCCTCCTCCCCACCAGCCTCAGGGCCGAAGTGCATCAAAAAAAGCCAGAGAAGCATTTTCCTGATTTGGGGAAATGGTGGCCACTCGGACCTGGTGAAGGGTGTGAACTGATTTGCCTGACATTAAAGCACTCTTTTTATTTTCCTTTTGCGTTAAATTGTGTTCTTCTGCACTGAGTTCAAGCAAGTTACTTTAAACCTGGTGGGACAGCTCATTTGGGACTTGGAGACTGCTTTTATCCAGAACCTGTTAAGAGAAAGAGCAGAAGATTTAAGTTAATACAAAGGAATACAGAAATAGTGTGCCTTAAAAGACTGTCTAAAATTATGTTTTAATGTTATTGATTTTGAAACTTCCAACATTAGAGTTTTACTGTTAACTAGGAGGCATGAGTTTTACAAGGTTAAGAAACACTCCCTGCAGCAATCAGCAGGGAGGCAAGAATGTAGCCCAATTTAAGGCTATATGTAGACTGAGACAATGAAAGCAAGAAGTCAGTGACTCCGCTTAACCCCATCGTTAAACCTCAAGTGGCAGTGGTGTAACTGGTCACTTGCACTTTTAATGAAAACATGCTGAAGTGAACCCTACAGGCAGTCCTACTCTGTCCTGGAGTCTCCATGAGTCTGAACTGACTCAATGGCGGTGGGTTTGGTTTTGGTATGCTGAAGTGAAGCCGACAGGCCCTAACTTTGCCCAGGGCTGTATCTACCTTTTCCACCAGGCCATTTGGATTCCCTCCCCTTGAGGCAGAGCTGAGAATTCTGACTAAATTATAAACCAAGTAAGGCTCAGCCTCTTTTTCACTTGAATGGTTGTCAAGTGACATCTCAGGAAGATTGAACGGGGAAAGACAAGACCTTGCCAAGCAGAGTACCCCTGTCCATGCAATAGAGGTGGGGAGGTGTGTTAGGGGAACTATTAAAATTTGAAAACAAGTGGTCTTCAGTATTTTGATTTTTGGATCTAAAATCAGTACTGCTCAGGTCTGGTGAGCTCAGATAATCACATCTGAAGGAAGTTATTCTCGAGTTCCAAGAGAAACAGATTGCCTTATAATCTGCACTAGCTTACATGTTTCATGAGTAAAATAAAAACTGCATTTCTAATATTACAAATAGGTAAACCAGCTTGGCAAATTAATATATTTTGCAATTTGATGCCACTCCAAAAAGGAAGAGAGGCTGAATTTAGAGAAGTTCTGATAAAAACTAGCCCCCAGGTGCCAAGAGTGCCTCCACTTTAGACATCAAAAGCATTAAAACGTGTTCCAGTCAGAGAAACTACATGTATTTTGTTGAATTAGGTTGTTGCATTATGAACCTACTTAGGTGAACACAAGGAATCTTAACATCAACCCAGGCCAAAGATGGACCAAGGGACCTCAAAGGCCAAGTGGCAGGCAGAAACGTGAATGTAACAAATCCATATTCAGTGGCTGGCGTTTACCATCTGCAAACATCTAAAATAGAAAATCCCCATATGTGCTCAGATAAAAGTGCCTGCTCTTTGTGAACACATACAACACAAAAAACCAAACTCGCTGCCGTCGAGTCTCTTCCGAGTCGTAGTGACCCTACAGGACAGATTACCACTGCCCCCTAGGGTCTCCAAGGCTGTAATCTTTCCGGAAGCAGACTGCCGCATCTTCCTCTCGCGGAGCAGCTGGTGGGTTTGAACCACCATCCTTTCGTTAACCACTGTGCCACCAGGGCTCCTTTGTGAACACGTAAGCCCCAACAAAAAATTGTAAATTTGAAGGAAAAAACTGACAGTAACTTCAAGTAGAGGTGGTGGTCTTCACGGAGTAAAAAAGGTAGGAATTTGTGTTTATCCAACATGGCAAGTGCCCTAATCTTCAGAAAGGTGGGCTGAGGAGACTGGGTTTTATGGCAATGCAGATTCAATACACCAGAGAATTATTCAATCCCTTTGTTAAAGTCCAGGCTCACTAACCCCCGCGTCTGTGAAAACATTCACAGTCCAGGTACCAGAAAGGAGCATGGCCAATTACCAGTGTGTTAAAAACTGTCAGCTGTGACCTGTCTGTGGGCTGTTTAATTTGGCTGATAGAGAACAGGCCAACTTTTTAATGATGCAAAATAGAAAACAGCATCTCAAGTAGAAAGGGTAAGCACTGGCTTGAGAAACTTTTATATATACACATGGGTGTGTGTGTGTACTGGGTCCCGATATAAAATATACTTTTCCTCCTGTGGGTAGCAATCAAAAAACTTTGCATACATACTATTTCCAGTGTCTTTCCATCACTAGAAAGCTGTATTCCTCATTATAAACACAAACATTGGTGTTCTGGTTTGTACATCAGTCTCTTGAGTTTGACTAGCAGGAATCAATTCACCAGAACCTTCAAAGCCAAGACCAGGCCTTGGACATCTGGTGACCTAATTCTCAGCCTGGAAACTCCGTGTGGCCAGTATTTTCTACGTCTGCTGTTGCTGCTTTTCAAAGAAATTTTCTGCACACACAACAAACTAGAAATGGCACTTTTTGAAAAGGGACAAAGTACTCAGTGTTCATCTTGTTGCTTTATTCAGTTTGCTCCAAGGGCAAAATCAATAGTAGCAGGGATCACAAACATTATTTTGATTGGCTCACAAGCCCCATCAGTAAAACCTGAAAAACGGAAAATGTTACACAAGTTGCAAAGAATGCACTCTCTTGGAGTTCACCGACATGATAGCAAATGGAAATAATATTACTGCAACAGGTGTTAACATTTAGAACAGTAGCTGTAACCTGCTCATTTCTAGACAATTCTGGACCCTTGCTGCAAACCCCTCGTATACAGATCACTGCTGATTTCCTCTGACGTAAGTATCACTTTACAGAAACTCTTCCTAGGCCTTACTCTTGGTGCTCTTGAGTGGTTCCTATTCCTACGGCGCTGGAGTGGTTCCTATTCCTACAGCGCTGGCGTATGCTGTCAGGATCTCCACTATCTGTTTAGTTTCTAGGGTCATGCGGGCTTCGTGCAGCCAGTCCTGTGCCACTCGTCTCGACTCCCCTTTCAGCTGATTGACAAACTTTGCTGCCAGCTCCAGATCTCCATGCTCAATGCAATAGGAGGCATATGCCAATAACTTAAAGGTGTTTAGATCCTCAGGGCAGAGCTCTAGTGGTGGCTTCAGCTGCCTGGGCGGGAACAGGAGGAGGGACTGCAGGTAGGAGAGGAAGTACTGGTATAAGCTATTTCTGGTTTCATCAATCATCGCTACCCTTCGGGCCAGTTTTTGGACAGCACAGAAACGGGCTCTAAGGGTCTCTTCGCTGTACACCCCACGGGTCAGGGACTCTGGAGGTAAAGCTGCGGTTAAGGCCTGGGCAAATTCACTGTCAGCACAGCTGACTCGGATGGCCTCGACTGCGCCGCCCAGTGGGACAGTGGGCAGGTCTGCAGACGCTGTCTTCATGCTGTACTTTAGAGCCTCCACCGAGAGCCACAGCTGGTGGGCTTTTCTGGCTGCCTCTTCAGCAGCTGCGTGACCTACAAGAAAACATCATAAATAAAAAGGCCATGGAAACATCTTCCTCTCCATCTGACACTACATACATTCGGATCCATCTTGAGACCTGATGCATAATGGGCAAGCTAAATCCACACAGTGGAAGATGGGGCCAGAGAGAGAACCTTTTACAAGTCCACCCACCACTTATTTCTGGTGTATTCTTCCTAACTGGCCTCATTGTAGGAGGCAACAAGGCAAGACAGCACTTGACAGCGCGGGCTTGCTCTTCCCAAAGCCACGGGGAGAGGTGGGCGGATGTCTGCACGCAAGCACAACCAGGCCTCCAGCCCTCTTCCCCTGCAGGACCAGAAACTAGGACAGTGCAGGGTAAAGAGCCTATGTAAGTCACTCTCATATATATGGCATCTAATTCAGATCTTGTTACATTTAATAGTTCAGAAACAAATATGTCATTATATGAGGCTACGACTTACACTAAGGCCACCAGAAAATCCCCGCAAAGGAATGGAAAACTCAAATAAACTCTGGATCTTGAAATGCCAAGAGTACTGAACTTATTTTTACAGTTTTCTGATGAGAGATTCTGTAACATCCCAAAGAAACCCATCTCGTCAACACCCTGTCAGGACACTTTCCCTTCAGGCTGGTGTGTGGAGGCCTCGCTATGACTACTGTCCATCTGGTGGGTAGGCTCCGCAAACCAGCACTCCAAGTAGCTGCGGACTCAGGAGCCTCTGGGGGGAAGCACGAGGCCACACTGACCTTGATCTCCACCCAGGGCACATGAGACAAAACCACAGTGTGCTGGGTGAGCTGCCTCACAAACACTGATCTCATTTTGTCATGTCAGAAGTAAACTTCAAGTCATGTAACTTTAGGCCTTCCTTAGAATTTCCTTCTACAACTCCCTGTGTTCTAAATGTATCAAATCTGGGTCCAATTTTTCAAGATGATTAAAATTTAGTACAGAGATCTCAATATCTTTATGCCCTGACATCAATGCATGTACCCCATTATCCTTGTGACAAGTGATTATCCGAAGTCACACTGAATTAACAGTCTGTAAGAGCCCATCTGCTCACTCTGAACAGCCTGTTCGATTCCTCTCAGTCTGGCATAGGCGGTGTTTATATCCAGGGTAAAGTTGTCAACTTGCTCCTGACTGAGACGACGAAACTGTAGCTCTTGTTCAGCGAGTTTCTCAGACATGTCCTGAAATATACACAAACAGTACAAGAAAACAGTGACGTCACCTCCATGCACGTTACTTATCTGGATGCTAGTCTTCCAGCAACTGCTACCCTCCAGGAGCAAGAAGGGCCTCTGAAATATCAAAGCAGTTATCTTGAAACTCATAAATTATGCATAAGGCTTCAAAAACTTCCTAACTTGTATCTCATGTGTAATTCTCCACAAATTTACTGTGAAGCCTAATATTAGAGGAGGTGGAGTGGGAAGGGAGAGAGGCTGGTGCAGTCAGAACCAAGGGCCTGCCTCAGAAAGGAAGTAGCCGTGTTGCAACCCAAGCATAACAATTAGACTCCATGCCTTCTACTGAAGAAATAATAAAACATTCACTTTCCAATAAATATCCATCAAACAATAGTTAAAATAAAAAACCTTTTCATAGTAGGAGCGGTTTTAACTCTCTGGAAGAGTTCCGTAACTTGCAGAATCTGTAAATGACCTGCTGAAAAGAAACTAATTATAATTAAAGGTATCCTGACAAATTGTTGGATTTCCAAACTCAACCTCTCTGGGAAGTTTCCTCAGTTATGAAATAGAGAGCACCACCACATAATCCACAGGAGTTTGTGGAGATAAAGCAGGATGACACATCTGTCAAGCATTATTGTCTACATTTCTGAAACCCCCTTTGCCAAGCCTCCCTTAAAGCTGTGAAGGCTCCAAATGACTTGGGTATATACAAAACACATCTGACCACTTACATGTAAGTACATCTTTGTATAAAAAAGACCAGTTTTGCAGATATACAAAAGCCCCACTCCACCAAGGCTAGGTAACATTAGAACTCTTCCCATTCTTCCACATCCACAGAGGGAATGACTCACACAGCACATTAGAGGTAAAGGAGAGCCTATTAATAATGGAAGCAGAGTGGATGCTTCACAGCAGGCCCTCACCTTCTCAAATTCATATTTCAGTTCCTGTTCTTGTACCCTAAGAACGTCTCGTAAGTGATCCGTGTGGGCAGCAGCCTGCCGGCGCAGCTGGGTTCGCATCTCAATTTCCATGGCATCGCGGACTTCCTCTACCTATGAAACCAAACAGAGTAAGGACTGGGTCTCAGTTCTCCAAGTATACTTTTAGGAAAAGAGAAAGACTATTAACAGCTATGCTGATAGCAGCTTCCAAGTGGCAGGCATGTGGACACATCCTTCACTCCTAATTTTTACAAAAATCAGAAAGCTGACGCTGGACAGTGGTGCAAACAAGGTCACGCAGCTGTAGGCAAATCGGATTTCAAACGGGGGTGTCTCTGGCCCCCCATCACCAGGCTGCCTCCTATACAAAGCAAACACCGTCGTTTCCCAAATCACATGCTCGCCAGAGAAGTCACTGATTCTAGACCGCGGAGAACTAACTCCAGATCATGGAGAAAAGTAACTACAAAGGCTTGGGGTCAGACACAGCTTCATCGTGACCACCTGTGTGACCCGGGGGAAATTCTTTACCTTTTCAAATCTCCATCTTCTCATCTGTGAACAATAATGCCTACACTGAAGAATTAGTAAGAAAATGAAACAAGTATCTGGCAGTTACTGAATATAACTTCCTTCAAACGAAGACCGAAACTGAAAATACAAAAAAGCCTATCAAGTCTTGCTTAATAATTAACCACGGGTCATATCACAAACTGTTTAACACCAATTACCTGGAATTCAGAACTTACCCGTTTTCTCAGAAATAATGAATGAATGAATCCATTCATTCAGTCAGTACATAAATACTTCTGAAATGCCAACCCTGTGCCAGGAAGTACCTGCTATTTGCTTAGATGCAACAGTGCTCAAGGCAGACAGGCCCTTGCTCTCAGACAGGACACATTTCTATGTGGGGAGCAGACAGTGAACAGGTAAACACAAAGGACATCTCAGAATGTGAGACTTGTTTTTAAGAAAATACAGAGGGTAATGTGACAATGATACAGGGGCTCTACTTTAGCATCTAAAGGGGACAGGAAGGGCTGTGCGGAGACGGCGACATCCAAGGTGAGAACTAAGGTTTAACGAGAAGCCACCCTTGTGAGGAACCAAAACAATGCACAGGCAGGGTTGGCGCAAAAGCCCCAAGGCAAAAGGTGTCATCACAGCACAGGAAAACACCAGCATGCCTAGAGCATGGAAAGGAGAGTGCCTGGCTTGTGGCAGGCAAAAATGAGATCCAGGCCTTTTTGGTATCAGTTAAGAATTTGGATTTTATATTAAATGCAATGGTAGTCAGTGGAGGGTTTTCAGCAGCCTAGTGTCTGATCCAACAGAATGCGGAAATTATCAAAAATATCATTAATATCACAATGCACGTGAAGTTTTGCTGAAGATCATTCAAAAACAGTTACAGCAGTACATTGACAGGTAACTGCCAGAAAATCAAGCCGTATTCAAAAGAAGACACAGAACGAGAGATATTATTGCCGATGTTAGATGAATCCTGGCTGAAAGCTGAGAATACCAGAAAGATGTTTAGCTGTGTTTTATTGACTATGCAAAGGCATTCGACTGTATGGATCATAACAAATTATGGATAACACAGCAAAGAATGAGAACTCCAAAACACTTAATTGTGCTCGTGAGGAACTTGTTCACAGAACAAGAGGCAGTCACTCGAACAGAACAAGGCGATACAGAGCAGTATAAAGTCAGGAAAGGTGTGCGTCAGGGTAGTATCCTTTCACCATACCTATTCAGTCTGTATGCTGAGCAAATAATCCAAGAAGCTGGACTATGTGAACAAGAAGAGAACCTGAAACACTTGCTGATGAAGATCAGACTACAGCCTTCAGTATGGATTATACCTCAACATAAAGAAAAAAATCCCCACAACTGGACCAATAAGCAACATCATGATAAATGGAGAAAATAATGAAGTTGTCAAGGATTTCATTATACTTGGATCCACAATCGATGCCCACAGAAGCAGAAGCCAAGAAATCAAATGATGTACCGCACTGAGCAAATGTGCTACGAAAGATCTCTTTAAAGCGTTCTTTAACACTTTAAGGCAAAGATGTCACTTTGAGGGCTAAGGTGTGCCTGACCCAAAAGCCATGGTATTTTCAATCGCCTCATATGTGTGCGAAAGCTGGACAATAAATAAGGAAGACCGAAGAAGAATTGATGCCTTTGAATTATGGTGTTGGTGAAGAATACTGAATATACCATGGACTGGGAGAACAATGAACAAATCTGTCTTGGAAGAAGTATAGCCAGAACGTTCCTTAGAAGCAAGGATGGTGAGGCTTCGTCTCACATACTCTGGACATGTTATCAGAAGGACCAGTCCCTGGAGAAGGACATCATGCTTGGTAAAGTAGAGGGTCAGGAAAAAAGAGGAAGACCCTCAATGAGATGGACTGACACAGTGGCTGCAATAATGGGCTCAAACATAGCAACGATTATGAGGACGGCACAGGACCAGGCAGTGTTTCATTCTGTTGTACACAGGGTTTGCCATGAGTCGGAATCGACTCAATGGCATCTAACAACAACAACAGTGTCTGATCAAAATTATGTTTTAAAGGACCAAGTGGCTGTGTAAAGATACACAAAAGATCAGTATGAAAAAAGGGAAACCTGTTGAGAGGCTGTTAATAACAGACCTAGATAGATGAATATACAGACCAGGAAACTTACTGAATAATACCTTGGACTAAGGTGGTGGTAGTGGGGAAAAGTAGACAGATCTGGGATTCACTGTGGATGCACTACTGGCAGATCTGTTGGTGGTCTGGACGTAAGTGATGGAAGAAAAATGAAGCAGGATTTCTGGCTTGAGCAAACGGAGAGCTGGTGGTTATGTTTACAGAGAGAAGCCAGATGAGGGGCTGCGACACAGGCTGAAGAGAATCAAGAAATCTATTTTGTACGTGCTGAGTTTGAAACGACTACTGAAAATCCAGCTGGAGCTATCAAGTGAGCTGCTGGAGAGGAATCTGAAGCCAAGGCAGTTCAGAGCTAGAGAGATGAGTGTTACAGATGGTATTTAAACTTCAAAGGGACAGGACTAGATAAGACCACTTGGCGACAGTTTAAATGGGAAGAGGTTTCAGAACCAATGCAGAGCATGCCAACATTTGAGAGGCTGAGCAGAGAAGGAGGCAGAGGAGCGGCCAGCAAGGTGGGAGAAAGGCCAGAAGAGTGTGGTGTCCCGGTGGCTAAGGGGAGAAAGAGCTTCGAGGAGGAGGAAGAGGTCAACTGTGCTGCTAACGGAGCGTGAAGGTGGGATGAGCCGTCAGCTCGTGCCCTAACACAGGCCCAAAGGAGCACTAAAGGAGCTACCTAATCCATTCCCAACCATCTACCACTCACAACAGTGGCAGAGGGAAAATACTCAGAATCCAGCAGAGGTTCTTTCAGAATTGCCTTAGGGGAGAGGTTCCACTGGGGACAGAGGAGTTAGATAACCCCGGACACCAGCAGCTTATTACTTTCTTATACCTCTGCATCTGCTCAACAAAAACGAACCCTGCCAGATCAATTCTTCCTAGAAGCCCTGAGTAGGAGAACAAAGCCCAAAGCTCCATTCCGCAGTGGTTCGGCATGACATACCCGGTATTTTAAAGTCAGTGACTCCAATATTATCTCTAGAAGCAGACAATCAAGTAAGACGCACTGTAAATGCTAGGCGTTATTCTCATCTCTGCTACCTTTCTGTCCTGCTCAGCCACTATTTCACGCCTGTGATGTTCTAAGGCTTTGGCCACCGCAGAGTCAAATGCCCGCTTCTCCTCCAGCTTTTGTTTTTCCAAAGCTAGTGCAATGTGCTGCTTCTCTGCGGCTTTCTGCTCAGCTAGCTCTCTGTTTAGCTGGTCAATGCGACGATGTGCGTGCGCGATCAGGGAGTTCAGGTCATCGGTCGACAGCCTGTCAGCTGAACAGAACACCACATGACACAGTTAAAGATTTCACCAAAAGTACATATCGCTACAGGGTAAACCACTTCAATTACTTTATCTTAAGAGCTATAAAGAAATGCAAAGAGTAGCTCACATATGAAAAGAGACTGAGATTCACCAGTTGAGTCAGAAATTGATAGCTAGCATCCTACAATAAGCTGTTTTCAACCTCAGGCAAAACAACTTAGGTAGGCCTTGAAGGCATGTAACCAGTTCTGCTCCAGGAGCCCGAGCAGTACTTCCAGTGTGAACTGATCATAAACTGCCTTTATGCCTCACAGTAATTGTCTCTAACGACAAAGCTGACATGTGCAGCCTCTTCTACACCTTCTTTCACATATCGCTGTGATTTGTCATAACAGGCATCCAACTAAAGATTCTCTTCCACTAAAACTCTGATCCAATTCAAACTCTCTCAGGCTTTTCCTAATAGGAGTTTCTGTTTCTTCTCTCAGACAGATATTATCTAGGCCAGTGATCTGCAGCCAGAGCTATCCATCACAATCACTGGTAGAGTCTTTTAAAATCTTCAAGCCCAAAGATTCTAATAATAGCCTTAAACATATACTTTTTTTTAAACTTCACACTCCAAAATTAAGAATTATGGCTCTATCAGCAAAATGCATAATACAGATCGTGGGAAATTCTATATGACAAATGACTCAAATCCCCAATAAACAGAAAAGAAAAAAAAAAAGGGGATAAAAGATTTATTGACCAAGTTCAATATGTATAACAACTCTGCACACTGATTTGAATAAACAAACTGTAAAGACCATCTCACGGACAACTGGGCACACCTGAATGCTGAATGGATGCGAGGATACTGAGGAATAATTATCATTAAGTCGCAGGTGTGATATGATACAGTGATTATGTTTTCAAAAACAGACTAAAAGTGTTTACAAGTGAAAGGATATGCAAGGATTTGCTTCAACATAAGCTGGGGGAGGGGGCAGTGGGAATAGATGAAACAAAGCTGGCCATGTTCTGAGAACTGCTGCAGTGGGGGAAGGGGCTATAGGAGTTCATTATACTTTTCTTCCTACCTTTTAACGTTTGAAACTTTCCAAAGTTAAAATACATATATATACAGGCAGTCCCCGGGTTACGAACATCCGACTTACATACAACCCATAGTTATGAACCAACCCCATAAAGCCTATTATATCAGAAATACGAGGTACATACAATGGTTCATAATAACAAAAAGGCAATACTTTGCAACATGCATCAAAACATTATTACTATAACTGTATTATGTTAAAGATGTTTTAGTGTACCTGGAAGTGTTTCTGTAATGTTTTTTATGAATAGAAAGGTACACAATATACTAAGACAAACATCTGACTAACTGATGTTAGATGTGAATTATACCTAACTGTTCCAACTTTCGTACAAATCTGACTTAAAGACAGACTTAGGAACGGAACTCGTTCATAACCCGGGAACTGCCTGTGTGTGTGTGTATATGTACGTATGTTATGTATAGATTCCAATCTACAGGTTTCCAGTTACTGAGAGCACACAGGTGACAAAAAGATCCAATTAAGATTTATCACGTGATAGAATTCTACTTTATATTATTTAGATAACTTAGCATAAGTATCATCGGCAAAACAAAAAGACTTTAGTCTTTTAAGACTCAAAACAAAAGCCTTTAAGAGTACAATACACATAATTACTCACCTAGGTCAGAAATACCTGCAAAGGGAAAGCAGAAAAGCTTAAATATATACATATTTCAGGTATTGATCATTAAATAGGAACGTTAAAGAAAATAAGAAGAGAAGAACAAGACACTAGTATTAGAAAAAGCATATTTTGATACTGAAAATGAAAATAATACAGCTCTTTCCTAAAATTTAAAAAGATTCTAGACAATACAGACCAAGGTAAATTCTAACATTTTTAGAAAATAAGAGTAAAAACCCGTTGCCATCGAGTCAATTCCGACTCACAGAGACCCTACAGGACAGAGCAGAACTGCCCCACAGGGTTTCCAAGGAGCGGCTAGTGGATTCGTACCACTGACCTTTTGGCTAGCAGCCGAGCTCTTAACCACTGCACCACCAGGGCTCCAAAGTAAATGATGTTAAAAAGTAGTTTTGGTTTTAAGGGACTCCTCTCTATTTTCGCCAAATCAATTTAGTTTTTTCATAGATACTACAACTTTTATCTTCCCATTTATATCAGTTCATACAGTATTTCAAAGTCACATAATTGCAACAGCAAACAAGTGGTTTAAACAGATCTAGGAACAAACCCATCTCATTCTTGGTAAACGTAAACTCCGACTGGCAGAAGCAGAAATGAGGGGCCTGGGATTGCTCCAGCGGCCTTCAACTAGCTTCTTTGCCTTCACACATTATGAGCCACCCTCAATCTTACAAAAATGAACTTTCCTCCTTATACAATCACATCACTTTTCTTCTCAAAGCCTGAAAGGGTGTCTAATGCTGCTGATACAAATCAATCAGCCTGAGAACAACGAGGCCTAGTGGGCAAGAATAAAATCCTGGCTCTACCCCCTAAAAACGGTACAACCTTGAGCAAATTATTTAACTTCTCTGTGTCTCAGTTTTCTCATCTATAAAATGGAGATAAGAACAAAACTTACCTCAGGGCTGTTGAGCCCTTTAAACAAGAAGACACATGTGAAGTGCTTAGAACACAGTGCCAGGCACAAAATACTGCTCGATAATGCTAGCTACTACGATCATGTGTTTGGCACAGCGCTCAGCTACAGAAGAACACAGAGGAAGTACCAGACATCATGACATCACCAGGAGATTCACAACTTAGAGAACTAGCTCGGACCACTAACAGCGAGATAACTGACAACACAAGCCAGTGTGAAGGATGTGGTGTATGTCCCCAGCGCCTGCAGATTTCAGAGGCGAGGATCTACCGAGGGCCAGGGTAATCGTGGAATAATTCACGTCTCCAGAGAAATCACTAATGCTGGTTGCTTTGGGAGAGGAAAACTGTGTGGCTGTGGGCAGGAGTGCAAGGGAAGCTTGTCACCAGGTACCTTTTGTATCATTCAAATTTTGTATCATGTGAATATGTTATCTATTTAAAAAATTAATAAAAATGTAAATGGAGGTCACTACCCTCAAAACTTCAGAGACTGCACCGCAGAGGGCCTTTACTTTCTGCCTGATGCGTTTCTTGAATACAAAGGTTTTCAGCCTCGGAACCCCTGACGCCGTGGGCTGGCTACCTCTTTGCAGTGGGGTGTTCAGTGCGTGTGGGGTTCAGCAGCGTCCCTGGCCCCCGCCCACGAGGCGCAGCAGCACTGCCCAGCTGTGACAGCCAAGTACGTCTCCAGACATTGCTAATGTCCTCGGGAAGCAAACCTGCCCTGGGCGTTGAAACTACTGCTTTAACGTTTTCATATGATATAATGAGCGTTTTCAAAATTAGACCCCCCTAAAAAAAAAAAGTAAAAATTTCAGAAGCTGGCCTGGAAAAATTAGTAGGAGTTAGTCAGGTAGGGAGACCAAAGATAGGTATTTAAGATGATAAAATGCAAATTCCTAGGGTTGGCACTCACAACTAATTCTCCACAGGCAAAGCCCGTCCTGCCCTTTCAACTTCAGTTCCTTTCATTTCAGCCAACCTAGACTCCCTGCTTTCTACCAAATGGCATGTTTATTCAAGGAGCTTACACCTAATGGGCAGACTACAAACACACAAACCAGTGAATACGAATTTCAAGACCAAAGAGGGTGGGTGATGTGCAGAGCAGCCTGTGGGAGAAGGCGGTCAGGGAAGGTGCAGCTGTAATCTCAATGAAGCAGGGCCCACGAGAAACTCTGACGGGGGAAACGGTGAGACGTGGCTTAACCGAGCTGCTCCAGGATGGACTGTAAACACTGAGCTCCCCTGCTAGGGGCCAGCTAACCAGTTTAAACAACATGCAATCAAGACTCACTGTTCCCAGACTGTGCACATGAACTTTTTCTCTCTTATAAATTCTCTTTTTTCTTTGACAAGAGTCTAACTACTGTCTCCCTCTTAAGTGAGTCAACTGCATACAAAAAACTGACTAAATGTCTTGGAGTCATTCTGTGACAGCCTGGACTCCACTGTTGCCATTAAATCCCTCTGGCTGACCATTACGCAGATGAAACGTCTGCACTGGTCTTCATTACCTTAGCTCCAGGCTTCTGTGATGCAATCCTGACCCTTCAGCCCAGAAAGGCCTGTTAACAGTCAGTTCCTCAGATCCTACCCTATGTTCAGTTTGCTGGCACTTAAACAGTGTTTTAACTTTGCTGAGACTGGTCATCACTGTGACTCTTACTATCTTCACAGCATTTCAGGGAAATGTGACTACCTCCTGCAGTTACATACAGTACGTCATTGCTTAGCCTTAACCAGCAGGGCCCCTGCCATCTATTTGCTCATCTACAGCCACACAGCGACTCCACTAGTGTCCCTGCATAAGTCCTCAACCTCAGGGTCAGAGAGCAATCACAAGGTGTGCCATTGTTGTTAGCTGTCCTTGAGTCGGCCCCCAAATCATGGCGACCCCACACACGATGAAACAAAATGCTGCCCGGTCCTGTGTCATTCCTGATTGGTTGCAGATCGGACTGTAGTGATCCATAGGATTTTCACTGGCTGGTTTTCAGAAGTAGATCACGAGGCCTTTATTCCTAGTCTACCTTAGTCTGGAAGCTTTGCTAAAATCTGTTCAGCATCATAGCAACATGCAAGCTTCCACTGACACGGGTGGTGGTTGTGGATGAGGTCACTGGCTGAGAAAGGAACCCGGCTATCCCGAAAGGGGAACCCTGGTGGTGTAGTGGTTAAAGCGCTTGGCTGCTAACCAAAAGGCAGGCGGTTCGAACCCACTAGCCACTCACGGGAGAAAGATGTGGCAATCTGCTTCCATAAAGGTTTACAGCCTTGGAAACCCTATGGGACAGTTCTACTCTGTCCTATAGGGTCACTATGAGTTGGAATTGACTTGAACAGCCGTGGGTTTTTTGGATCCTGCAAGGAAGGCGAGAATTCTACCACTGAACAACCAATGCCCTCAAAGTGTGCCGTAAGTATAATTCAATACAGACACCTTTAAAAGTACTGAAGGTTTTGAATAATTGTACACAGGTACGTTAGAATCAAGGCTATAATGTCACTCTTATGCACTGGGATTCCAACCTGTTTTCTGGGTAGCAGAGACCAGAATGGAATCACAGACTGTGGAATTAAACACTGGAACTTATGTTCACATGGCCTAACCATGAGAGTGGCATCACAGTGTGTCACCTGTCATGCTGGCTGTGGTTGAGAATGCTGACCACACTGTTCTGCACCAAATGACAGGTATGCACACAGCGGGGTTGGCACTAGATGGATGGAGTGGGAGCAGTTGACTTTAGTTGATCAGTTACTGACCAGCTGTTAAAAAAATTTTAAAAAGTACCAACACTTCAGTTGTACTTACTCATCCCTTTCCACCCAGGCAGTACTTCTGGAGTAATACTGTCCAGTTCTCGCTTAAAGTCATCCCGGGCTTGGACCACCAGTTCATGATACTGAGATACAACCTTAGCCTCAGACTGAGCTGCTTTGACCTAAACAAATACAAAGAGAACACGGTTAAACTGAACAAACAAATGCAGTATACATTCTAAGAGACAGAAGTGATATTTATTTATCTAGTTCGCTGTGAATGCAGAGGTAATACATATGTAGAGATCTACAGCTCACGGGAACTACCCCTACAGATCACAAAAGTACAGACAGGAAGATTTTCCTTTCATTTAGTTACAAAATGAAAATTACGTGGTAACAACTATGGTAAAAAAAAAATGTTACCTATTATTACAGAAACTGTCAACAATACTCCACAATCTACTTGGTGCCCAAGGCAATCTTGTAAAAATAGTAACAAGGCAGAGAGATGGTTGGAATCTTATTTTTTGAATTCTTAAAGCCCAAAGGATTATTTTTTAAAATGTAATTGTAAAAGGTCTAGGAGGCCCACCTTTTGGACCACACTGTCCAGATCGACGATCATGTTGTGAAGCTTTCCCTCTGCAGCAGTTATGTGAGGTTTGGCCCCAGCAATCTCCTTTTTCTTTGCATTTTCAATTACGCTTTTCATCTTCTCTAACTCCTCTCTGAAACCAATAAAACAAAACAAAGATTTAGTATAATTCCTTGCCAACTTTATTAAAAACTTTATTAAAAAGTTTTGAAAGCTGTACAAATTTTTAAAAGCCTATGAGAGAAATATAATTGGAAAAAATTACTCAATGTTTTTTGTAGCCTACAGGTAGAGGAGCTTTTCTCACTAACAGTTAAAAACAATCTCAGATGGAAGTGAACCAGAAGTAGCGTGATATTCAGAACCGGAAATCAGCCTCTCATTTGCTGCATACCCTTGTGTAGGGATTAGAGGCACTTCATGCGAAGATCCTGGTACAGTGCCTGCTACACTGTGAGCACTCAATAAATGGCAGTTCTTGCAAGCAATATCCTAGTCGTCACTAGCCTTCCAATCAAGAGAGCTTAAGGCAAATGAAGGGAGGAGGCCACAGATCTCACTCAGCAAGGAACTGGGTCTCGGGGAGCCTTCTTGATTCACGCTTCCCAAGTTAAAAGGACTGAGGTCTACCCATTGCAAAACACCGAACTCAGAGTCCTGACAGTGATTCGAGCATGTCTTAAATCTCCTAAAAGTTATGACGGCTCTATTAAAAGGCTTCTTTTTTTTCTATCAATAATGAATATTTTGTTAGGGAAGGCATCAACATTCTGAGTGACAATTCCAGACTGCTGATGAGAACCATTAGTTAAATTCTGTCATCAGAGGTTGACACTGTACTTGGTTTGCCTGCTTGATCCTTGTTCTAGCCAACATCTAGGAGTCAAAGTCAAGGTGGCATAAAAGTAGATCTATACTTAAAAGCTAGTGAGCGGCCATCTAAGATGCATCAATTGGTCCCAACCCACCTGGAGTAACGGAGAATGAAGAACACCAAAGACAAGGAAAGTATTAGCCCAAGAGACAAAAGGGCCACATAAACCAGAGACTCCATCAGCCTGAGACCAGAACTAGATGGTGCCCGGCTACCACCAATGACCACCCTGATAGGGAACACAACAGAGAGTCCCTGATGGAGCAGGAGAAAGGTGGGTGCAGAACTCAAATTCTAGTAAAAAGACCAGACTTAATGGTCTGACTGAGACTGGAGAAACCCTGGAAAGCATGGCCCCCAGACTCTCTGTCACCCCAGAACTAAAACCATTCCCGAGGTCAACTCTTCAGACAAAGATTAGACTGGACTATGGGACACAAAATGACACTCGTGAAGAGTGTGCTTCTTAGCTCAAGTAGATACATGAGACTAAATGGGCAGCTCCTGTCTGGAAATGAGATGAGAAGGCAGAGAGGGTCAGGAGCTGGTTTGAATGGACATGGGAAATCAGGGGTGGAAAGGAGGAGTGTGCTGTCATAGTACAGGGAGAGCAATTAGGGTCACATAACGATGTATGTATAAATTTTTGTGTGAGAGACTAACTTGAATTGTAAACTTTCACTTAAAGTATAACAATAAAATAAAAAAATAAATAAATAATTCTTTTTCTTGTTTAAGAAACAAAAAAAAGTAGACCTATACATGCCCACTACTTTGGTAGTTATGGCAAACATACTGTGACATACTCTCTAAATGCAGATAAAACTGCCCAAACCTCCCAGAAAAATCTTTTAATTATATCAGCATCTCGGTAATCAGTACAAACATAGTACCTAAGCAATAATCCCAAGAAAAACTGCTTTTTATATATGATCCTTTATATAAGCTTTTGCCAATTTTTAGCCTAATTAAATTTTATTTCCTCTCTTTTTAAATGTCCATGTTCCTGATCCCAGGACAGACAAAGCACAGGTAGAGAAGGGAGGGAAGGGTCTCTGCCTCTTCTTTCTATACAGACCATGTACAAAGAAAACCCAGCCAGAAGAAAGCCACCAGGGGGCCCTGATTACTTGTTAAAGTCCATGAGTAATTACTTGGCTTTGAGAAGGGCATCAGCAGCTTCATCTACTGCCTTTCTGCGTTCCTTCAGCGCACCCTCCACTGTGCGCCACTGAGCTGACTTCTTCTCTCCTGCAATCTGAACAAAAGATGTTAATTACGTAAACACAAATAACTGCTACAATTAATGTCATAAGCCAACATGATTCAAAGCAGAAAACTGTGACATTAAATTCAAAGGTAGAACTTTATATACACTACTTCTCTAGAGTAGGGACTCTTAATCTAAGTCTCAACGTTGGGCTCAAAGGAGTCCTGTCAACCACATACCCCTCCAAGTTGTAAGAAAAGTTTATGCTCCAATGCATGGAAGCATTTTCAGAGGAGAGATGGTATTTCTTTATTACATTCGCAAAAGAAAATATGAAGCAGAACAGGTTAAGAATAACTTTTCATGATTTGTGGTTATTGATTAAATCATTCTGAATGAAGTACTCATACTTAGAATTTTCTTAACTGCAGACCTGTCTACCAAAATCATAGTTTAAGAATGAGAAAAAAAGTTTACACATCTGTAACGTCCTTGGCTCTAGAACATTATCCTAAAAAATGACCCCTCCTAATTGGTAAGATGAAAACTGACTTATTGTCAAAAATCTCCCTTGAGGTGAATTTTACAGTATGTGAATTATGGCTCAAATAAAAAAAAAGTCTCCCCTGAAGGTCCCTTAGGTAGGTCCAACCCGGTTTTCTTCTCCAGCACTGTAACTGACTACCATTTCTATAACTGGCTCACACTTAGCGACACATCACACAGAAAGACCTCTGATATGACCATCACACTCAGTGCAGCAAGCTGCTCCACCGTCAGACACGGAAGCGAGCTGCGACTGCTGAGGGCGCGGACGAGCTACAGCTCCCAGCCTCCCCTCATTCTCCATCATATACACAACGCGCAGAATGTTACAGGGGAGCTGTCTGAACTACTTATTTTTTCTTTTCTTTTGCCAAACACCTACAGTTCAAAGTGAGTACATTATGTGTAGGTATGAAGCACTACCATCTTATGTCCTATTTTGAAAGCATACTGGGCTGGGATCCCAGAGATGAACAAGAACATACTAAATTACCAAAGAATAAAATACTTTTGCCTAAGAAAAATGACGGAACTACTTCAAAAATTGTATTTCAAAACATTCAAACTGCAGAAGTCTGCTGTACACCCAGGAGGTGACTGCCATCTCAGTAAAGGGTCTCTGGGCCTAGCGAGTTTCTGCCTCTGCAGCCCTGGGCCTGTGGCACTGAGAGGAAGAGTCCAGCAAGAGCGATGTCCTCTGGTTCTGGTCATTCTAAACCCTCCCTCTGCATGATTCTACAGCACGTTCCCCCGGACATCTAGCAGGATCTCCATGTTCTAGGTACACCTCTTATCCACAGGGAGTTTAAAGGACCAAGTCTGTTAAGGCAGGGTTAACATTTTTACCGCCACAGGACCACTGTGACAGCCTGAGGAAGCTTCTAAAAATGCCACTTTTAAATGCTTAAAATGAAATTACAAAAGATTACACGGGAACCCAATTATGTTGAAACATAAATATTTTTAATTGTGTGAAATAGTAATATATATGCTTATGAACACATTAAATAATCAAGATCTAGGGGGAGGTCTAATACCCTAATTTAGAAGTAGTGATGAACAGAAATGGTATTTTGCGAGATCTGCAAGTACGTGCTATGACGTGGTACAAAAATATCTCTGCTTTCTAGTGATGATAAAGACACAAGTACTGCTAACACTACTGTGGTTTGTTGACAATATTCTTAATTGAAGGAAATGCTTTTAAATTTCAATTTGAGGGTAGGGAAAATAAAGATGCTTTCATCCAACTTCAACAAACCCCTGAATTCTATCCGCTGACTGAACTCCAGGTTAGAAACCCCTGGCTTTAGAGGAAATATCTGGTACTTCTAAGGGTTACTGTAGCTGTGTGCTTCACTTTTTTTGTTTTTATGTTTTACATGAATTGTTGCAAAGTGATAAAGCAAATTGTTTTATGATGTGAATCATGAAGCTGATGTTTCAGAGAATTCCCACCTCAGCCATCTTGCTAAGTAAAATACATCAAGGAAGGCTGCTGGCGTGGACCCTGTGAATATTATGATCTTATCACATATAACAAATCTTCCAAGGCTCTATGGTATGGTATTAGAAGAACCTGATCTTTTATTAAGAGAACTCTTCATAACTGACCCAAAAAGACTCATAAAGCATGTAAGTGTCAGTGACATCTCCAGGGGTCAAAATGTGCCTCCCTTTGTTGAAGGCCCTCTTGCTGTGGAGGCCCAAGGAGGAGACTGCCCTGTAACACAGACAGCAGGTTCAGTGCAATGAAAGCAAGTTCAACTGTTTCCACACACTGCCTTGAGAAAGTTGTTCAGTATATATTACAGATCTCATGTGCACCCACAGCTTCTCTTACTAGCAAAAAAACAGAAGTTTAAATCTACTTTTAAAATTTCAAAGTTTTACTGATTTTTTGTTAACACCGGCCAATATGCCTTAATTTCAGCTAACAGCTAATATAAGGTGTCCTTTAATTGAAAAATCTTGGTTGCAACAGATTTTTACAATATGTCTCTTCCAAAGGCATTACTTAGTATGTGTTCGTCGGGAAGAGAAAATGCCCTCTAACGTAGCCTTACACCAGAGTAATACCACAGACACTTCAGCTTCTAATCAGTGTCCTTCCAAAGGACACAGGTCCACTTGAGCGTGAACCCAAGTCCTCGACATGATGAACCTGCAGCATCTGTGTGACCAGCACATAACATGTCCCGTGTGCTTTCACTTTCCTGACTCAACTATGAAACTTCCGCTTTCTTCTTGAACTAGAATAAAACTAAATTTTCTTTTGAGTTTTCAAAGATAATAGTTTTAGGTTGTTACCATCAGAGGTCTAATTTAACTCTTTTGTGACATATGTACATATGACTGAAACAACATAAAATGTGTTTAAAAATTTTTTTAAACCAGTTATGGTGGCAAGGTAACTTTACTGATCATGCATGATTCTGATCCCTGAGATTTCTAGTTTACGTAGTTATTTTACTTTTATCTTTTAAATGACTTGGGGTCAAGATATATATATTGAGTAATTCAATGTAATTATAAAGGAAATTTATTGAGTCCAGTATTACATTTTGAAATCAGTGCAATTAACTTTACTTTTTGAAGTGTTCAATGTAAATTATATAATCAGCATAAAAATTTAAGACAGTTGGTGTTTTCGGGTACATGGAATCTCTCTGTATGACTTCTTACAACTGCATGTTAATCTAGAATTATCTCAGACTAAAACGGTTATTTAAAAAAGTGGCTGACAGTTTTACAACTGAAAAAAAACAACAACAACAACAACAAGCAAACAACAACTACGTTCAAAGTACTATCAAGATTTGAAAGCAGATTTGAACTACTTCTTTTATACCACCTAAGTGTTATGAGATAAAATAAAGGACTATACGTAAAATGTATTAAAAAGAACATTTCAAGACTTTTACCAGATTTCGTTTTAAAGTCATTACTCTGAACTGTCTCCACTCAGTGAAGGAAAGCCCTACCAGGAAGAAGAGAGCCGTCTGTTACATGAAGTGTGTCCAGTCATTCCTGGGCTCACCTCAGCATTGTCCATGGCCGCCCTCAGTATACTGGAGTGTGCGCTGACAGCCTGGACAGCAGCATTCTGAGCCGCGACTGCCTGCAGAGTGGTGCTAGCAGTTTGGCTCAGAGCATCTTCTAAGCTCTTGGCTATAGCTGGGGAAAAACGAAACTGTTAAAAACAGGTCTCTGTCCCCATACCTGGCTCTTATTTTAAACTTTCCTCTTTCCCTATTAACTCTTGCATTGCATTTCTCAAAAAATGTTAAAAATAAACAAAAAACGAAACCTGCTGCCGTCGAGTTGCTTCCAACTCCTAGTGACCCTCTAAGACAGAGCAGAACTGCCCCAAAGGGTTTCCAAGGCTGTAAATCTTTACGGAAGCAGACTGCCACATTCTTCTCCTGTGGAGCGGCTGGTGGGTTCAAACTACGAACCTTTCGGTTAGCAGCTGAGCACTTAACCACTGGGCCATCAGACGCTATAAATTCAGCATAATCATTGGATTTTTTTCATTTTAAATAATGATCACAGAGACTCACTGGGAAAAAGAGATGCCCATTTCCATCCCCTCAGCCAGAAGGGATACTCATAGCAAAATAGCCCTATCACCAAGATATAAGATGCTGTTATTGTTGTTATGTGCCATCAAGCTGATTTCTGACTCACAGCAACCCCATGTGACAGAGCAGAACTGCCCCATTGGGTTTCCTAGGCTGTAGTCTTTACAGAAGCAGATTGCCAGGTCTTTCTCCCATGGAGCCACTAGGTGGGTTCAAACCACCAACCTTTTGATTAGCAGTCAAGCACGTAACCATTGCACCACCCCGGTTCCTAAGATATAAGATAACAGACAGAAAAGAGAAAGAAAAAGACAAACATGAAAACTAAAAAGAAAAGGTGGCTTGGGAACAGATGGTCTAAAGACTAAAAGAATAGGAGGTACCAATGTTCAAGGAGCTACCAGATATTAAGATCACATTTTTAATGTAATTAATATCACTAAATTGTATACTTGAAAAAATGTTAAAATTGGCAAACGTTGTTATATATATTTTTAAACGATAAAAAAAGATCTCCTGTCTCTATGCTAATTAAGGACTATCAAAAAGAAACCTCAAAATAAAACAGGAATAAAGTAAGGGATGATTTTAGATAATATGCTAAAACGGAACAATGGTCAGTTGAAAAAGGCAGCCAGTGAAAATAATAAGGTAACAGTTGATATTGGAGATAACAAAAAAAGGGAAAATATATTTGACAGATGAAACCAAAACAAAAGAAGACTTTGAGCAAAAGAAGCATAAGCAGATTTTGACAGTGGCTTTGCACAGAGATGAACAAATGGAACCTGATAAACTGTACGTGGTACCTCTGTAACATGACAAAAGGGGAAAGCTAATAATGAGAAAACACTATGAAAGGATGTGGGATTAAAGTTAAACTGGAGAGGCAGGGGACATAAAGAGAGAAAAGGGACAGGGAAGAAAATATGGTATTTGGTTCCGAGGACATGCTTGAGGAGTTAACAGTGGGAAATCCAAGCACAGGTAACAGTGAACCACATCAACAGAGTTCCTACACACCTGGAAAAACAGGCCTCCAGGAAGGCTACCTGCTGCTTCAAGCCTTCTTCAGAGGTCTATGCACTGTGCTCTGGCCCTTTATAAAAATTACATGGATATAATGTACTGTACTCTAATTCTTAATAAAAATCACAGATACATCCACACACACATACTTTAAATCTGGGAGAAAATTAAAGAGGCAATTGGCAAAATAAAGAAAATGTATACTTGCCCAAGAACGAAAGATAAGAGGAACTACCAAAAGACACATCTATCTTTAATTTACAATTTACCCCAAAGTGTCCATATGACAAAGGGAGAACAGTGAAAACTGAAGAAAAATATGAATAAAAGATAAAAGTGATCTCAATTTGAAGCAGTAGAAATTTCAGGAAAAATTAAGAGGTGAAAAAAAAAGTATAAAAATATTTCACTTATTTAGATGTCATTTATTCAACAGTCTCAACTATCTGTAACATGGCCAGAAACTCAGAAGAAAGCAAAAGCCATCAAAAAACTAAGCAGTCAAACTAACGTCCTGACACATATGCTCATTCTGTGTCTTCTTTTACACGATTCTAACAAGCTTGGTTCCTAAGGGCAAGTCAGAACCAACAAAAGAGAGGGAAACAGGAGCCAGTCAAGGCAGGAACACTTCAGCACTAACCAGAACAAAAACAAACGGAGAAAGCACGTGTATTATACAGAATATTCACCAACTATACACTAGAATGTTCCTTGTCACCTGGGTAAGAGAAGCTCACATGGAAAGAACACAAATAATAAAATAAAGAAGGATAATAGAGCAATGGCACTAATGAAAGAAAAGGAAACCAGAGCTAGCTGACAGTAAGAAGCTTGTGCTGACGGCTGAAGAAGAAAGTGACTGACAGAGACGACCCGATGCACTCAGGGGCTGTCTGGTTTACGTACACTCAATCTCAACTTGCTCCTGCTTCTCCTGCCGTGCAAGGCGCGCCGCAACTTCTTCAGGTGGCCGCTCTCTGACAGAAGATGAGGATGCGTCCTCTTGCAGCAAAAGCAAATAAGAGGAAATCAAATTTCAGCACAGAATTTCAACGGCTAACAGGGATATTAAAACATCACCGCTTGCAGCTGCCAGTCAGGTCAACTGAGGACAATTTGTGCTAAGAATCCTAAAACTACATTAATGACTCCAAAATGAAGATAAGAGATCAGCTCTTAACGCCCTGGTTTTGGAGGATTTATTTCAAAAGATTTTCTAAGCAGTCTGAAGACTTAAAACTCGTATAAACTTATACTTGAATAGGGTCTAGGTGTCGTCTAGGCACTGAATAACTCTGATGAGCACATCATTTATAAAATAGCAAATATAAATAAACTACCTGAAGTTGCAGGCGTGAGTTCTCCTTCACCAGCTGCAGGGAGATCAGGCTTTATAGATTCCTCATGCTGAACCGCAGGGGCTGGAACTGACAGTGTATCATCTGCTGCAGAAATAATCTGAGCTGCCTCTGTAGGTGCTATAAATATATGTTACTCACGTATTTATAGTTTCCTGGGTTAACAGAGAAACACGCAAGAATCTACTACTATAACCGCCCACTTCATGCACACAAATACATGTACAGCCACTATTCACACCCACAAACAGACTGGGCACTGCCCACTGCCTCTGCAAACTCGCACAAAATGGATAATGGCTGGGAAAGCACAAGAGAAAAAGTCTTGTCAGCATCCTCTGCATGTCAAACATCACTAGCTATCCTCAGGCAAGGCTTCCAGTAACAGTACTAAGCAGTACTAAGCTTAACATGTGAGAACTGGACATAAGATTTACACAACATGGAAAAATAATAACAGAGGAAAAAAGATTCTGTAATAAAGAGGTAGACAAAAGAAAGTAGCTAACCAAAACGAATTTTTCAGTTGCTTTGAAGAGTGGCGGAGGTGAAAGAAGAGGCATGTGGAACAGGCAGTAGAAGAGAAAAAGGAGGAGTAATTCTAGAGGTGGAGTAGGAAAAAAAGAACAGCAATGAAATGGAGAAAAAATATTTAAAATAGACTGTAAGGGCCACTTAAGACATGAAAAACGTAGGATTATCGCAAGGCTTCTGCCCTTGGTCCCCTATCATCTATTTACAACAGCCAGATGATCTTATTAAAATAAACGTCGGATTTCAATCCCCTGGTTCAGAACCTCCAATGCATTCCCATCTCAGAATACAAACCAAATTCTTACAATGGCGTCCGTGCACAACTGCAACAGGCTTTCTCCTACCACCCCCGACTCATCCATGCCTCATCTGCTTCTTGCTTGACTACACCAAACCCTGTGCTAGCTAATCCCTGTGCCTGGGATGCTCCTCCCACCAGCTTACTCCCACAGGGCTTACTCCCTCCCCTCTCTCTAGTTTTCTCTCAAATGACACCTTCGAGGTGAGGTTTTCCTTACCCACTCCATTTAACACTGCAATATTCCCTCTCATACAGATCACTGAGTGACATCCTACACATTTTACATATGATCTCTCTCCCCTCATTCTACCAACGAATATTAGCAGAAAAAAAAAATTTTTTTTTCTATTTTGTTCATTGCTTTATCCCTTTTGGCTAGAAAAATGCCTAGCACCTAGTAAATACTCAGTGAATATTTGCTGGGGGCGAGGGAAAGGTAATTTGATTATTTAATCAAGAACAGAAGTAACTAAGGAGAAACATAAGAAGTTCAAAATGTACACTCAACAGGCCAGAGTTAGTTAGCTAAGTGCTTTTAATTAGAATGGGATTACTGTGAAATCACAAAGGCAAAAAATATCTTGAGGGACTACAGCAAGACACCTTTATCACTAAGAAAGCAGACAGGAGAAGGAACTGAAGAGGTAGAAAAAAGAGGTGGGAAAGACAAGAAATCTTAAAATCCAAAGGGGGAAAAGGACAGATATCAAGAGGGAAAAAAGGAGAAAGGAAAAATAAACAGTGTTGCAGGCAAGACAATTCTTGCCACTAGCCTCCCAATTTCACATCTCAGTCAACCCCTAAAAGCGAAAGCCAAATGAGAGGTGGGAATCCTCCTTCCCAAGTGGGGGATCAGAAGAGCCCTTCGTGTGAGGGGCCCTCTTCCTCAATGTGGGTACAAATAAATTAAAACAATTCATTCACCTGATTTTAAAAAGAACAGTCTAAATATAGGTACCTGTTGTTGAAGCTGGAGTGTCTCCCTTTTGTTTTTGGAGGTATGAGGCAGGCTGTTTAGATTCTTTCACTACCTCTGATACACCAGAAATTTTTAGTGGACCAGACTGAATCTTGGAAATGAAAAACATTTAACATTTCAGAGATAATACTGTTTAAAAAAAAAGCAGCATAAAGTAATTTATAATACTTCAAAAGTCAAGTCTTTCAGGATTTTAAGTTATCAGAGCTTTACAACATAATGTGTTTTATTAGCCATACTAAAAGAAGCCATCATTACTAGAAAAATACAGCTAAAAATTTTCATTCCAAACAACTAGACTTTAGTAGTAACAAGGTCTTCTCTCAGAGCATATGATAAAGTACAGGATGTACAACCCTCCTTCTAAACATCATTCCTTTTACACATGTAACACTGAGAAGGTGATTATAATTTTCTCTCTAAATTAAATTATGGTGTCATCTCCATACGTTCAGTTAGAAACAAGATTTTCAGAGGCTCCAAGTAAAAATGAATATTAGTTTTTTGTTTCTTTAATCTCCAGGACTCATGCAACTGCGCACTAAGATATATGATTGATTTGAGTAACGTCTGCTTTTTTCTTTCCTAATTACTACCTGCCTTGAGCTCAAAGGCACTGTTCATTAACAGGACTGCCAAGACACGCCAGAGGAAATTACTGAGGAACAGAAATATTGATATTTACCACCTATGTTGTTCCACTCTCCACCAGATCTTGGCAGTGGAATTCAGACAGTCTTAAATGACTACTCAAATATTAAAAAAAAGAAAAACTCCAAACTTTGTCACTACCAGAAACTAGAAATATATCCATTATTTTAATTTTACTGTTATTTTTTTGAATCATGAAATATATGCTTGTTGTAACAAGCAAAATAATATCAAGATATACCAATGGTTTTCATTTGCCTCTTTATTATTCCTTTCACTTCCAGCCCTCTCAAGTAGCCAATACTACCCTTCCACTCCAAGCATAAGCTCAGATACGTACACATATACCATTTTTTATTTCTTTAAACAAACTAAGATGGGGTTATAGTACACAAATTACCACGTACCTTGCTTTCTCATTTAACAATATATTATAGACATTCTTCCACGTCAAAGCAATTCTTTTTAGTTGCATAATAGCCTAATGTAAGATATATCCCATAATTTAGTCAACCACTCTCCTACTTATGAACATTCAAGTAGTTTCCTGTTTTGTTTTGTCACTCAAACAACACAGCAATAAACATACAGATTAAAAACGATTGGACAGCTAATAAAATATGGGCAACTATGGAGATGAATCCAAGAATTCTAACAGCTACCTGAGAGCATGGTGCTATTTTTTTTTGTAAATTAGGTTCAGTTTTTTTTTTTTTTTTAATTGTACTTCAGGTGAAGGCTTACAGAACAAATAGT